AAATGTTACCCATGAGCGGTCCCAGGCGGGGGCGGCCCATGGCGGACTTACCCACCAGCCACGGGTCGTCCCCGTACGCCTTGGCCGTCAAAGCACAAAGCCCCCGCGCATGCGCAGTGGTTGCCACGAGCACCGCTGCCCCACAACCTCTGGAGGGAGCTGCTGCTCCGTGTGTAACGGCTGTGTCACCGCTCTCCACTCACATGGAGGAATGGACAGCGGTTTCTGCATCATATTGGGTGCTGAGAACTATTTCGAGAGGTTACAGGCTCCAGTTTGCTTCTGTTCCTCCTCGATTCTCCGGCGTAGTGTTCTCCAACGCCCAGAGGACATCAGCTCACATCCTTCAGGGAGAAATCTCCTCCCTGCTAGAGAAGGGAGCGATATACATTGTGCCTCCCGATCGGTCTCAGAGCGGTTTCTACTCCAGGTACTTCCTGGTCCCGAAACGGGGAGGGACTGGTATTCGCCCGATCCTGGATCTGAGGGCCCTGAACCGATGCCTCAGAAAGTACAGATTCAAAATGCTCACGCTCTCATCCCTTTTGCGTCTGATTCACCAGAACGACTGGTTCACCTCAATCGACCTGAGGGACGCATACTTTCATATTCCCGTGTACCCTCCACACAGGACATTTCTGAGGTTTGCCTGTCAGGGAGTGTGTTACGAATACACTGTGCTCCCATTCGGCCTCTCGCTGAGCCCGAGGGTGTTTGTCAAGTGTACGGAGGCGGCGATCGCCCCTCTGAGAGGGAGGGGCATTCGGCTGGCCACGTATTTAGACGACTGGCTCCTGCTGGCACGGTCCAGAGAGGAGGCAGCGTCAAACACGCTGGTTGTGATCCATCACTTGTGTGGTCTGGGTTTCAGAATAAACTGGCAGAAAAGCGCTTTACTCCCCTCCCAGAAAATAACCTTTCTAGGTCTGAATCTGGACTCAGGGGCGTTCACGGCCCGTCTCTCAGTCAGGGGCGGATTTAGGACTGAAGAAGATCCGGGGCTTAACAAACGCGCGCGCACACACACGCGCGCACGCACACACGCATGCGCGCACACACGTGACACGCAATAGTCAACATCATCTTTATTTGTCTTGTACCACATAACTTTTAATCTGAAGCTACATATTCAGCATATTCAGGGCAGAGTATTGTTCCTGTTAGTGTTTAGTGTGAGATGATAGTAAATATTCCCTTTCTTTCTCCAACAACTTTACCTGATAGTAAGCTAACTTTAGGCAAACCAGCAGCACAAAAAATATTTTCAAATAAGACTCACAAACCTGAGTCAACACCAGTATCATCAAAGCTGAGGTTCTGTTGTTGTACTTTTGGTCTAAAAAACGTCCTTATGTCCATCTTCACTCATGCGTTTCAGGCAGAGAGTGTAGAAGAAGCCGGCTGGTGAAGGGCTTCTTCTTCAGTGGTGGAGGCTCAGGCAGGCTGTATACAAACTACAGCCAGCTGCGCCCACTCTGTTGGACTTTGGTACTGCATGTCACTTCCGCGATTTAGATCCGGGGCTTATCATGAAAGATCCGGGGCTTCAGCCCAAGTAGCCGGGCCTAACGCCGCCCCTGCTCTCAGCACCGCGCGTGAACGCGCTCTCGCTCTGCCTGGCGCGCTTCCGCCTACACAGTTCGGTGCGGTTTGCGTTATGCCTCAGGCTTTTGGGTCTCATGGCGTCTGCTATTTCAGTGGTACCACTCGGTCGTCTATACATAAGAGATTTTCAACGCTGGGTGGCTTCTCTGGGTCTCTCTCCAGTGCGCCACAGAGCGCGCAGGGTGACGGTCTCTGCAGCGTGCGTCGCGGCGCTCCGCTGTTGGCGTCACCCCTCCCTCTTGGCACAGGGGGTGCCTTTGGGGTTGGTTCTCGTGAGGAAAGGGGTCACGACAGATGCAAGCCTGTCAGGTTGGGGGGGGGGGGGGGGGGGGCTCCTGGAGGGTCGCTCTGTCAGGGGTGTGTGGAGCAGAGAGCTCTGGGGGACACACATAAATCATCTGGAACTCCTCGCGGTCTTTCTGGCCCTGAGGCGCTTCCTGCCTTTTCTCTCCGGCCATCATGTCCTAGTGAGAACAGACAACACCACGACTGTGGCTTATATAAACCGCCAGGGGGGGGCTGCGCTCCATGCGGTTACACACGCTGGCACGCAGACTGATCCTATGGTGCAGCAGGCATCTCCTCTCAATCAGAGCCACCCACATCCCGGGTGTTCTGAATCGGGGGGCGGATCTGTTGTCCAGAGGGACACCCCTGTACGGGGATTGGAGCCTGCATCCAGCAGTGTTGGAACAGATTTGGATCCGGTTCGGCACAGCCGTAGTGGATCTTTTTGCCTCCAAGGAGAATGCTCAGTGTCCACTGTTCTTCTCCCTGCGCGACCGAGACGCTCCACTCGGCGTGGACGCGCTGGCGCACGACTGGCCACGGGGACTGCTTTACGCTTTTCCCCCAGTGGCCCTGATACCACCCACCTTGCTGAGGGTACGAACCCAGCGCCACACTCTCATTCTGGTGGCCCCATACTGGCCAGCCATGCATTGGGTGGCGGACATTTTCCAGCTCCTGGAGGGCCAACCTTGGAAACTGCCGCTTCGCAGAGACCTGGTGTCCCAAGCGGGAGGCTCGATCTTCCACCCTCATCCAGAACGGCTGGCCCTGTGGGCCTGGCCCCTGAGGGGTGTGGGCTAGTGTCAGTAGAGCTGCCCCAGGCAGTCATTCAAACCATTCAGAATGCTAGGGCCCCCTCCACTAGGTCCCTATATGACTGTAAATGGAGGGTGTTTGAAGTCTGGTGTCAGGGCAGGGAGGTCTCACCCTTCCAATGCCCGGTGAACGTCATTCTGTCTTTCCTGCAAGACTTGTTGGATGGGAAGAAGGCTTTCTCCACCATTAAAGTGTACCTAGCAGCCATTTCCGCCCGACACTTGGGTTTTGGGAAGAAATTGGCAGGACAACACCCCCTGGTGTGTAGCTTCATGAGGGGCGCGCGCAGGCTTCTCCCTGTGTCTCGACCCCTGGTGCCCTCATGGGATCTGTCCTTGGTGCTGTCGGCCCTCTCCGGGCCTCCATTTGAACCTATGGACGGCCTGGACCTTAAGATCCTGTCTCTTAAGGTGGTGCTACTCCTGGCTTTGGTATCTGCAAAGCGAGTTAGTGACTTACAGGCTCTCTCTGTGCACCCATCCTGCACCCAGTTTGCACCAGGTGACATGAAGGTGTCCTTGAAGCCCAACCCTGCCTTGGTGCCTAAGGTGGTGGGCTCCTTTTCTCCTATTATCCTCACAGCTTTCTACCCACCACCCTTCTCCTCTCCTGAGGAGGAGCGGTGGCACAAGCTGTGTCCGATTCGCGCGCTCAAGGAGTATGTGAATCGGACGGAGAACCTTCGCAGGGGGGACCAGCTTTTTGTGTCATGGGGTGGGCCTCGTAAGGGGAAACCCGTCACAAAGCAACGGCTTTCCCACTGGATTGTGGAGGCTATTTCTATGGCTTACTCCTGTCAGCGCATTCAGGCACCTGTAGGGCTCAGGGCCCATTCTACTAGGGGCCTGTCTGCTTCTTGGGCCCTTTTTCGGGGGCTGTCAATCCAGGAGATTTGTGCTGCAGCAAGTTCGGCTTCTCCACTTGCATTTGCACGCTTCTATAAACTTGATGTTTCGGTCCCTGCAATGACTCACACGATTCTGAGTGTGGGGTCTTTGGCAGGCCAAGACGTATTCCTGTAGGTTGGTGATCGCTGGATAAGCTGTCTGGCAATACGGGAGTCTCCATATCCCATAGTGAGACATCGAAACGAATGTTAAGAAAGAGAACTTTAGGTTACTGTCGTAACCCCGGTTCTCTGAGTAACATGAGTGAGATGTCTCACCAGACAACCCTTCTTGCTGGGCGAAGCGAGAAGAGGTGTTTTTCTTGAATAGTGCGTGCGTTGGGACGCTTGCTACTTATAGTAGCAGGGGGCGCGTACGTCACGGTCACTGGCCAATCAGGATTGGCGTATTGAGATAAGTGCTTCTGAGGAATCCGCGGAGGGGCGTATCCCATAGTGAGACATCTCACTCATGTGACTCAGAGAACCGGGGTTACGATAGTAACCTAATGTTTTCCATCAACAACATTCTTCCCCTGACAACAGGGTCATCACTGAGTAACTAGGACACTCAGTTAGAAACATGTTGAAGATGAAACTTTAATTGGGTTTTTTAAAGCACAATTCCAGTCACTTTCATTATTATGAGCAGAAGTTCCAGCGGCACAATTCTCCAACCTTTCTGAGATAAATGCCTCATGTCAAAGACGCCATTGGGCACACATACAAAACACCTGCGCATTGCCAATGGTATATTTTAGGATAAAAAATCTGCAGTCTGAAAGTGGAAAAATGTTGAAAAACCTGGGATATTAATACAACAAAACTACGAGTGTGTGAGATGGGACTTCTTATCTTATGGAAAGCCTGCAGTGTTTCTGAGAGTTGGACAGGTCTGTCAATCTCTTTACATTTGCAGTCCTGCAAATAAGTCATGAATGTGGTGTTACATAAGAGCCAAGCATAGGACTGAAGGTTGAATAAGGGCAACGTTGTTAGTCAGCAAAGCAGCTGTCTGAAGTTGCTGCAGCTCTGATCTTATCCAAATCCAGGAAGTACTTCACTTTTAAAACTACTTTATAAAACTGACCCTTGCATCTTTTGCACATCAGTGTGGAAAACTGTGATATGAAGCACCATAAACAACCTCAGAATTAAGGTTCAAACTTGGTCAGATCCTCTGATGTTTTCATGAAAGCCTTTTTGACTTTGATTTCAGGCAGAACAGAAACTTCTAGCTCTCATATTTCATGTACCACGCTCAACTTTTGCCATTTAGTCTGAAAGTAAAAAAATTAAATAGCATCAAAGCAGACACGTTGTGCCTTCAGTTTTTCCTGAAACTAAAACAATTGTAACCCCTGCTGACTGTCGCACCCCTTCTATCGGTCTGCAAGTCTACCTGACAGATAAATCCAGTGGAGGTGCACTGTCGAACCCAGAGGCTGAACTTCCTCTTCTTCCTCTTCCTCAGCTCTCTTTCTGTACAGGTGGTGATGAAGACAGGATCCTCGTCTATCAACGGCTCATGAAGAACCTTCAAATACAAAAACAATGGATGTAAAATTATTTTTTAAATCGCTACAGGAAATTAACCTGAGATTAAAGAATTCAAAAATGTAATTAAACAGTCTGAAGACAGTACAAAAGTGTTAAAAGTCAACTAATGTCTTATTGGTGATTTGACTGAAGTTTAAGTGAGCGATGATCAGAGGCCCCGATCTACCATTGCACCAGTAAGAACTGGGCATTTACCAGTCAAATATGGGGTTATTAAAAAATTATGAGGCTACAGCAGCTCTTGAACACATTACAATCTGGGGCTTTTAGTTCTCTGTAGGTGTCCATTAAAATATTTTGTTTCACTCTGAAGAAACTTGAAACATGAAATCTACAGCACTGGTTTTAAACATCGTGCAACACAAGAGGACAGCATGCAACTTGTTTTACTGGTCTCAAATTTTTTGACTTTTTATAAATGAAATATTTAAGTAAATGAAATAAAAAATCACAAAATACATTAAAGGGATACTATGCAACTTTTTCATATTTTAAATAATTCTCTTGAGCCAGTATGTGATAAAATGACCCTTTACAGGGTTAATGAAATGCCACTTAGACCCCCCACTGCCCTCTGTGGCCAGAATATGCACTTGCAACTTCAGAGTTGCCGGTCTGGTCCCTGCTGGTGGAGGGAGCTGACATGCATGAAGCTGCAGTATGCTTCCAGCATGTTTCCTGCATGTTCTAGATCATGAACACAGCTGATTTGTTTGACTTAGTGATGACTCACTCCTGTGGACACTACTGAAGGCTAAGGAGACATTTCAGCTGTTGGATGTTAAAAAGATGAACGCACAGAGGAGATAAGTTTCACTTTTGCTTTGACCACAGAGAATTAATAACAGACACTAGGAGGCGCTAAAAGCAGACACAACTGCCAAGTAGGCCCAAGTTTAAAATACTTTCCTCTAGCTGACAAATTATTGAATGAGTTTGAAAAAGCATCAGTTTCCACTTGGCTCCCAGACAGATAAAAAACCTGACCTTGATACACACTACTGATGCTTAATATTACTAATACACACACACACACACACACACACACACACACACACACACACACACACACACACACACACACACACACACACACACACACACACACACACACACACAGGCTAAGTGACAAGACACCTTGTCCTACTTATTTGAAATTTAGGCATTTTTAAATGTAGGCAGACTGACATATTTTTTTATATATATATATTATTTATTTTTTGCATCTCACACTATGTTCGTTTTTTGGTAATTAATTAACTTAAGGGAATTTAAAACTGTACAGCTAAACTCAATGTGGGTGTAATTTAAAAAAAATAAAGGGATTGCTTCTGAGAGATTCCCAAATGCATTTGCAGCAATAGCATTTTTCCCTATGAGGATAATTTTACAGCCACTTAACCTGTAAAAGCAAATGACTCAATTCAATAACAGCATTGATTTTTATAGCTTGATGGTGGCTACAGGTGTGACAGCACATGCGGATAGAATATATTAAATCACCTCAGGGGAATTTTTTAAAATATAAACATACATAACAGAAAGCATAACAGGGGTTTTTATTAAGAAGTGAAACTGAAAGTGGTCAGGTCACTCACCTGTGTCTGTGAGGGTCTGAAGGTGCAGCTGAATGCCTGCTGCAGAGAGTCCAGGAAAGGCTGGATCTTGTAAAGGCCCTGGTTGCTTCCCTGGGAAGGCCGGAAAGCCACAATGTGAAAGTACTTGAGGATCTTCTCGAACCGGGATTGGCTCATCTTCAAAGCGATGCTTCTGTTGCTGAAGAAGCCGGAGCTCCAGATGCTCAGGACCGACTCGCAGCGGTGCACACTGGTGGAGATGACAAAGCCTAAAAACGCCTTCATCTCGTGTGCCGTAACAGGACACCAGCCTTCCTCTGAGCCGAAACGCTCCTGAAACTTCTTGGCGTACATGTTAGTCTGGGACACCATGTTTTGGATGCAGTTGTCTGGAACAAAGAGCTGGAAGAAATCCAAGGCAGTGGCTGCTTCTGGCATCTTCTGAGTAGGGCCTAGATCAGGAAAGGAAGGGGAAACGTTTGTGAAATCTTGAGGCAAATCTCTCTTAGTTCCTAAACATTGATAAAAGACATTCAGTTTTTCTGAGCTTGCTGAAAAACCTTTTCTCTTTTGACACTTTGAAAAGATAAAATTAGATTTTGCTGAGCTGTCACTGTCAAGGCAGAATAAGATGCTTGCAGGATAAAAGAGAGACAGCATCCTAACAACCGCTTGGCCTTTTTTATGAATCAACCACGGCAGCTTTTGGTATGAACGTCAGAAGCCCAGGGCAGCAGTTGGAAACTTTACACGACTTGACAGTCGCCTCACTGTGATACTTGTCACATAGCCGTGTTTCCTTCTTTTCAGAAGGTTTTGGTGTCTCGTTGACATTCGTTCAGTGGCAGGAAATGAATCAAATCATCTTCCCATGCAGTCAAATCAGGATGGAGACATGACAGGGGGAAGTCTGCAGCCTGTCAATAAAGCTTCAGATAATAAAAGACGGTGTTGTTTGGACAGCAGCGTTTAGAGCTTTGTCTAAACAGTGGATCAGTTTTAGCCTTAGCTCAGTGGACTGGCAAACAGACAAAGCAAACAAACCTGCCTATTCTTGATTTACTAAAAAGGTGCAACCATATAGGTGTAGTTCACCTGTTGACACTGATAGTTTTAGTGTACTAATAAAAGGTTTAACCCTTCTTTCAGTAGCAGCGCCGGGGGGTGCTAGGGGGCGCTATAGCTACCCCTGGATTAGTCATTGCACCCTCAAGTAAATATTAGATTTTTTTTTACAATTTAATTTTAATTTAACGTGTGGATGTGATAATATTTAACAAACAAAACAAAAATAATCAGTAAATTATCATATAGATAGTAAAAACTTAAACCAAAACAGAAAATTGATGTTAACCTTTGACCTCATTTTCCACCTGCGAACGAGTGAAAGGTAGAGCTAGTGGTAAAATGGATCGGTTTTTGTTGCCCAAATTTCCACGGGTTCATTCAGTAACGAATGAATCTTTGGAAGTGATCTCAGACCCACAAAAACCTATGGATCTGGATGAAGAGAGTCAACCCTCGACCGCCGCAGCAGTCGAGGGTTTTGCCGCTGGAAATGCTAACACTAACGTTGGCTAACCTTGCAACACTATAGATGGTTTTCTGTGTGGCTGTATGTGTTTATGATTTCATGGAAAAGTCAGTGATTGTTCATATGTTTATGATGTATATTAATGATTGTTTCAGTTGATGTTGAGGTTTTGTGCACGCATGTGTATCTGCTAGTGTTGAAGGTGTTTTAGAGAACAATAGGTACGCATGACCACTTCCTTCATAGCACCCTCAATAATAAGACTAGCTCCTTCATAGCACCTGCAGAAAAAAATTTCTGGAGCCGCCACTGCCTTCTTTTATGTTCGGGTCAATTTTGACCATTTTAGAAGTTTTTTCTCTCAAATATGATTGATCTGAGATTTCTGACCTTATCCATACAATTAATCAGAGCAGACAAATTAAATGTGGGTCATTTTTAACGTGTCAAAAACGACCAGTCATATGAAATGAATGTGCCACACCCTTTGTGAATAAAACTGAAATCTTACGGACGTAATCCCATTTATCGCAACCTCTAACGAACCTCATTCCTTCTTCTGAGTCCCACCTTAACACTTTCTACTAGGTTGGTTAAAGAGCACCAGCCAGAAGCAGTCTACTACCACCAGAAGGTCTTTGTCCTAAGAGATATCAAATCTAGGGATGTGCGATATATCTGAATCAACATCGGTATCAATCCATGAACTGAATTGCTTCTGATTGGTAGAATATCCCCAATATTTCCAAACAGCTGTCTGTTTGAAAAACGTGTAGGAAGGACCTGACGTCATTTACACTGCAGGTCACACCCTTGTGGAAAAGTATCATACCAAGGTTAAGGTCTATGTTGACGGTTCAGGTGAGGTTAAAAGGTTCTGGGTCACATCGTGGCAAAAACTAGCCCAAAAATCTAGGCCAACTGTAACATTAGCAAAAGATTTTTTCTCTGCAGGTCAGTCTAACCATGCTCCATTGTAGCCTCAGCAGGTCTACCATTGGCCTGAACAATTTTAGGTTCAGCCAATCACAGTGCTCTATGATTCTAGAGAGACATTGGGCAGTCTTAGCAGCAGACCTGCAATGGAGAAAAACTACAAAGATGGCATCAACTTAAAAACGGTGCTCGTTTGAAACTGCTTTGGCATCAACTTTGGACAATTTAGACTTGAGATTTTCTTTGATACATAAGTAGATAGAAGTACTTAAGTCCTTTATTTTGAAAAAGCATATATGTGCTTCTTCTTCTATGGTGTATGGGGGACTGCCACACAGGGAGCCTAAGTCACGCCCATCTACTTCTGGACCACGAGTCCCTGCAAGAATGAAAAAATGAATGAAAGTCAATGGGGCTAAAAACGCTATTTTCTAATTCCCCTTGTTATGTTCCATGGATTTCACATAGGAGGTCCGTGAATTTTAAAGAAGCAGTTTGATACCAATAAAGCACTTATTTTAGAATGGGGAGAAACTTTATTTTAGGTTTTGTGTGAACTTTGTGTGAAGTCCTGCACTACAAATGCGCATCACCAAAGTGACATCATCAAACGAGACAGGGAGAAAAAAAGAGGGACAATGGCTGTAAGTTCAGCAAACTTCAAATCCTTCCTTCAGGAGGAAAGAACCACCATAAATCTGGCCATTTGGTAAGTAGCAGCTACGCTAGGGGAAAGGAGATAATGTGGGAACGTCATATATGCGATGTGCTGATGTCTGGTTTGTAGTCATGCTAATTGCGAACTTTTACAAGCAGATAAATGTCAAAGTACATGACAGACATGTTTGAAACACCCATCATTAGTTTTCAATTAAATTGCAGTACAACACATGTGTGATCAGGGCGTAAGGCAAAGCAGATTAGAAAATGGCTCTTTTAGCCCCTTTGACTTGCATTCATTCTTCCAGAGACTCATAAGCTGACCGGAAAGGGAGGAGACAAACTCTCTATTGGGCAGTCAGCACCAGCCCTGCAGTGGGAAAAAATTCAAAGATGGCATCAACTCAGGAATGATGCTCATTTGAAACAGCTTTGGCATCAACTTTGGACATTTTACATTTGGGGTTTTCTTTTATACCTAAGCAGATAGAGGAAGTTAAGTTCTTTATTTAGAAAAAGCATATATGTGATTCTTCTTCTTCTTCTATGGTGTATGGCGGACTGCCCCATTGATAGATTTCCGTAGCAAAGGATATGTCACATTTTTCCTTGTTCCGATTGGTCCTAGTGCTGTCAACCTGTGCATAGAGACAGTTAGAATGACAATCATAGATTCTGCTCCATGTCTGATTTCTGCCTATGGGTCATGGTCAGACTATATTTTTACATTTATAGGATGGTTGTCAAGGTTAGGCTTTAATGTATGAAACTAACATCCATACTCTATCAGTGGTCTTTGAAATTCTTTAGGTTCATGGAAATCCACCAATATTACAGCCGATTCAGATCATCATACCATCGGCACACAAAGCCAATAGCAAAGATTCTATCTAGAGCTGTTGTTCTTCAGATCTTGAGCACAACTTTAAGCTCAATGGAGCAGAGCAATTTCATTATCCACAAACATCCGAAAGCAACATTTTCATTTTCTCCAAACCGCTGCTCTGGTTCTGAGTGGTTCTCTGCAGCTAAAACAATGAACGACTCTTGCTTCAAGTCTCTCAATGTTGAATTAATGACAACGCACAGAAGAGTGTCTTTTCTAATAAGTGTGAAGGAGGAGGACAAAACATGATCAAATAAAAGGCAGTGGCATCCAAGCACACCCACACAGCGGATGCTTGCAGCCAAGAAGACAACCAAAGCTACGATGCTGATAAAAAAAATCTATGCATTTTCCTTCTGTTCAAGTTGAAATGTGAATGCAAAATCCAGCAAAAATTGCACTGATTGTCAGTCTCAACACTAAAGATAAAGGTATTTGCACCAGATTAAAGGAACTTCAATTATTGCCAATGCTGCTATAAAAATGCACCTTTCCTTAATAGATTTTAGTTATTCATTATTATTTACACAAATATTCCATCTACTAACATTGTCTAATGTTAAATTTTTCTAAGCTATCATGAGCTGATATGTTATTTCTGACTAATCTCTGCTTAGTAGATCTTTTATAATCAGAGATTTAAAAATATCCAGAGATTACTGTACATCTGCTGTGGATCAGCCATGCACATAAAGTGGGCTGCATGGTGGCACAGTGGTTAGCACTGTTGCCTCGCAGCTCGAAGGCTACAAGTTCGAAACTCAGCTCGGCTGCGGCCTTTCTGCGTGGAGTTGCGTGTTCTCCCCATGCATGCGTGGGTTTCCTCCGGGTACTCCGGTTTCCCCCACAGATCACAACATGTCCTGTAGGTTATAAATTGTAAGTCGCTTTGGATAAAAGCGTCTCCTAAATACATAAACATAAACATAAAGTAAACTGAATGTGCTTTAGGCTCAGTTTTTAGCAAAAAATTTTTTTAAAAAGCCCTGGAATTGAGCTCAACTTCCATCTATCTTTGCTAAAAGGTTTTTCCTGAGAAACTTTCTGACGTAATTACACATGGGAAAAAATATGCAATGCTTGATTGCAATGCATTACATAAGAAAACCCCTTTACATATTTGTAAAAGTTAATATTTGTTATATAAGAGTGTCCACTTTCAACTGAATGCAATATGTGAACAAGTTAAGACCGTCAGAATGGGGTCAAACAGATATGGTGGCATATGGTGAGCCAATGTAATCTAACAAACCCGGTCAAGTTAAATCCCACCAACATCACCACGAGTTGATTATATAATCTAAGATTTGGTTAAATGTTTTATAATCCTTTAAAAAAAAATCAGACGGTGAGATGAGTCTTTCCTAAAAACTGACCTTGCACGCTAAAACCCCCACAGGGTTTTTTCTAGCTCTGCACCTGTTTCAGTGAGAGTTTGCATGCGGTTGACTGAATATTTTCTGACAGCGCCCAATGATTTATGAACATGGCACACAGATTCCAACAAGGGAGTGTTGTCAAATCCAGACTGTGTGTGTGTGTGTGTGTGACTGACAGGAGGGGGGGTGGGGTGGGGGGTCTGACAGGGAAATGCAGCCACGATGCATAATAGTATTCAAATAGCTGACAGCAAGGATCAACTTAAACAGCTTTCCATCCCTTTTAAACCTACGTCCAATTTTAATTTCTCCAAATGAGTAAATCTGCAACTGATGTGGTTTTCAACAGTTTCTAATCATTCGAGTCAACACATGTTACACAGTTGTTGTGCTAAAGCAAACAGACCCAGACTGGTTTATAACAAATCCAGACAGAATATACAAAGCCGACAGACACACCTGCTGTCATCTTAGATTAAGCCAATAGCAACAGAAACAGAACAGGTTGTTCCAGGATGTGGGAGCATCCTCTAACTTTCTGTCTCCAAGGATGGCAAAGAACAATAAAATGGACCAAACAACAACTGGTGTTGGATTAGTCGAGTTAGTTAGCTGGAAAATGGAGATGGGAAATAACCACACAAGCAGCTCCAACTGCAGGGACTCTTTCCTGTGGTCCTTTATATCTTCGAGTGGCACATTTCTGTTTTTTGCTGACATTAAAACAGCTTGACAAACAAATCTTTGTACACATGCAGTACGTTTTCCTGACACTGCAGTGGCTTCCTGGCACTTCGTCTAGTCAAATTGTGCTATTTCATATTTTCATAACTGAGCTATTAGGTTGCAGAGGAGAGGAGCAGGACTCGGTTCATTTCACCCCATGGCCACAGGCTAGAAATCTGCTTCCAAAGCTGCAACGTGCATGGTGGAATACATTTTGGATTTCATGCAGGAAACAGTTGATTAAAGGTGGTATTGTTGAAGTACTGTTTGCGCGTGCCGTGCAACTATTACCATTACAATTTAGGGTAACAAGAAACATCTTAGTGTTTCTCCATTACAAACCCCTGCAATACACTACAGCAGGGCAGGGGTATTCAATTCCAAGCCTGGAGGGTAGGTATCCAACACGTTTCTGTTTTAACTCATTTTCAACACACCTGATTTCAATCAGCAGGTGATTACCAGGCTTCTGCAGAGCCTGATGAGCTGCACAGGTGATTCGACCACTGAATCAAGTGTGTTGGAGCAGAGAAACAACTAAAACGTGCTCCAAGACCGGTATCATGGAAGTGGTTTCTTTATTTATTTTTTAAGGGGGATAAGTATACATTTTTTGTATATTTACTTATAACGTCAAAAATACTCATGACCGGAATTGAATACCCCTGCACTACAGCATGTGACCCACAGCACCAAGAGGATTATCAAAGGCAAATCGTTAGTCAGGGATGCAGTGTCATGCTCCTTTCCACTACTACAGATGCACATGGAGCAAAAATCACACGAGAATTTTAAAAATGCCCAGAAGCCACAGAAATGGCCTGCCTGACCTACAAAATACTCAGCCACTCCTGTCCAATCATCCCACAGCCCAGATGACCTTACTCATCTGATCACGTCTCACCGTATGTGTCTTTGTACGGTGGAACCGTGACATCCTGCAGCGTCTCCATCCAGCCCTCCTCCTCAGCCTGGCTGCGGGACAGAGAGCCCGGGGGACCTGCTCCGCCGCTGCCTCCACCAGCTCCCCCGCTGTGCCCGCAATCTCTGTCGCTCCTCTTTGGGTGGTGGTGGTGATGCTGTGGCGGATGCTGCTGCTCATCCTCGCCCGCCTCGGCAATGTAGTTGTCGGAGTCGGAGTCCCCGGAGGTGCTGTAGAAGGGATTGTCGCTGCTGTCATCCCCGGACTCTCCAAACACGTCGTCGGATATCTGTAGGCTCTCATACCGGGAGCGGGCCGCTTCCAGGAGAGACAGCGCCTTCCGCCCGCACTCCGCCATCTCTCTCCGCACTGATGCTCCTCTTCTTTCTTCTTCAGTCTGTCACTACGTCTCCTCTGGCGTGCAGGTTGGCACGATCCTGCAGGCTGGGGATGTGTGTGTATGAGAGAGAGAGAGAGATTGTGTGTATGCCTCGAATAAGTCACCTGCTACACCCTCCCAAGCCCGAGGTACTATAGCTATAAATTCGGATCCACCTGCGTCCTCCCGGCAGCTCAGATGCGGAACCTGGCGGTCAGGCTGCAGCCTACCAGGGAAAGCTGAGCATCAAGGGTCCGGAAATAATGCCGCCCCCTCGCTGTGCACCGGGCAAGACACAGCATCCGGGTTGGGAGAGCAGCGATCTCAGATAAATGAGAGTAGTAGCTAGTACACACCGCCAGCCAGCCAATAAAATGGCACTCTTTTAGCCCAACGATGGGTATGGAGTCACAAGTGTCCTAAATATATATATATTCATTTTTTAAAATGTGTAACCAACTTTTAATTTTTCTAATAAAGAATTGTGCCATTTTATAACTTATATTTTCATTTATTAATATTGTATATCTTTGAATGAAAAACAGCTCGTTGTTTTGGTAATATTAGGCCATGTTTTTTTATGTTGACAGGCTTGTTTCTTTAATTTTACTCTTTTGTACACAAAATATTCTCTCAATAATTTGCACACAATGTACTAAGCCATTTATAAAACTATTTAATTTAACACAGGTACAAGTGTTTGATTTATTTTTAGGAGCTGGTGCATGATATCACATTAAACAGCACAAGTCAGCCCTTAAAGCCAAGATATTTCAGCCAAGAACTGTTGTGACGTGTTAAAACTTGCACCCTAAAGGTAAAGCATGTAGTCAGCCATAAATGTGTTTGAAACAATGAAAGCCGAGCGTAGACGTGGCAATTTTTGGCCTATTTTGAGACGATTTTCCTCTCATGAGAAATTTTTTAGGTCTGGGCAAATTTTGCGTCACGCGTTGTGTAGTAGGGGTAACAAGAAGCAATAAACACCTAAATCTCAACAAAAGCTCCCGATCAGCAAGTGTGCAATTGCACGAATATCAAACATGTTTGATTTTTTTGCTCGTCTCGCGTCAGGGAACCACTCTGTTGAAACGGCGCTGTGACTGAAATGTACAAAAAACACTCACACAGCATATGCACCAGCACCTCTACACATTTGACGTGTAGAACAGTGTAAGAACATGACTCGTGAACTTTGCCCTGCGAGGAAGTCGTAAAGTTTGAGATGGAGCTTAATGCAATGATTTAAAAAGTGGAACAGTGTAAGCCCAACTGAGGACATGCCTCCATGATCACTGATGGTATCCCAAATAACTGATCTGAGAACAAATTAATATACAACTCTAACTTACCATGTTCATCCGATTTTTCCTGAACTACTTAACATAGACAAAAATATCCTGAAAGGGCCGCAGTTGTGGAGATGCTTGATCCATCTCTAACAAATGGCTTCCTCGATCTTCCAGAAGAACAGTAAGTTTAATAAGATGTCACACATTGAAAAAACACTTGTTTAATAAATGCTGAATTAAACATCAATTATCAATCTAACTAGATCTACATCACAAATTGTAAACATGTAAAGATAAATCAATAGTAGGAAAACACTAATTTAGTTTTTCTGCTTATTAATTTCATTGGTCCTCTCTAGACAAAAACCCTTTCAGTACATGTACAGTGCAATGGAAAGATGTCAGAACAGTTGAGAAAGGAAATTTGTTTTACTTATGGAAGCAAATTTTACACACTTGAAAAACAGAAGCCAAGGACAAAATGATCTTATTACAACAGGCCAGTAAAACTATTTCATAACAACGCTTTGGATTTTTAATAAGACTAAAGATCTTTCACTGTTGTCAGTTTTCAACAAAAACATTTATTGTTCTTTTAGATTTCTAAAAAAGAAGCATCAGTGTTATAGATTGTGAACAAATATTACTATTAATAAACTCAGAGTGTGTGGTGTTTCTTTTTAACCACCTTAGTAAAACTGAACTTGTTTCAAGAGGTCTTGCCTTTGCCCAGATATGTGATCCATTATAGTTTGTCTTGATAGGAGATTCAATTCAATTCAAGTGTATTTATATAGCGCCAAATCACGACAAGAGTCGTCTCAAGGCACTTCACATAATAAACATTCCAATTCAGGTCAGTTCATTAAGCCAATCAGAAATAATGTTTCCTATATAAGGAACCCAGCAAATTGCATCAAGTCACTGACTAGTGTCAGTGACTATACAGCAATCCTCATACTAAGCAAGCATGCTGCGACAGTGGAGAGGAAAACTCCCTTTTAACAGGAAGAAACCTCCAGAGAATCCTGGCTCAGCATAAGCAGCCATCCTCCACGACTCACTGGGGATCGAGAAGACAGAGCACACACACACACACACACACACACACACACACACGCGCACGCACGCACGCACACACACGCACGCACGCACACACACACACACACACACACACACACACACACACACACAAAGACAAGTAATGTGTCTATAGTTATATTGTGATGTCTTAGTAAATATTGTATTTGGTGAAAGATAAACTTTATTGTATTTATCCTAGTGGATCTATAATTAAACGGATAAACTAGTATTAGCACATCAAAAGTCAATGAAAACAAAAAGATATTTTCAGAAGAGAGAGAATGTATTAGTGGTTAGCAGCAGTGTCCTAGTCGATGGCCCCCTCCATGAGGTCACCACAGCTCAGCAGAACGTCATTGTAGCTTCTTCTGGGGAGAAAAACACTTACAGAGAAAATAAAGTTAACAGCTGAAATAGCAGAAAATAGTACAGTTAAAGAGCAGACTGTAGAATAAAGCAGTAGAGTGTGAGAAGTGGTCAGTGTGTCCTCTGCTTAGATCTGCTTAGACCTGCTCTTCATCTGAAACAGACAAAACCTCATCACTGTCAAATAAAGGTGAACGTATTAAAACATAAACATTTAATGCTGATTTCATCACTTTTTTTAATCAAACATAAAGGTCTGTTTCTTATTAGCGTGAGAGATTTGACTGCCGCCATCAGCATAACAGATATTTAATTTCTTCATATATTATTTAATTCACATTGTTGACCTTTATAATGCACACAACACAATAAGTAATGATGCTCATTAATCCAGTTTTTTGTAAATTGAAATTTTGCCGAAAATAAAGATCAGATAGTTGCAACAAATTGCTAATATTTGTTTCTTTCATATTGACCTAAAGGACAAAATGGTCTGAGACAATTGAAAAGTAAATATTACTCAATTTATTTGAATGCCTTCAACAGTACTTGAGATGAATGTTAATTCTGATACACTGATATTTTGTGTTATGAAACCCAATTTATATATACGTTTTTGAGAATCTTACATGCAGACCTTTACTGCATGTCTTTTGTGTGGTGCAATTAAAACTCAGACTGCAAGTTGGCAGATTTTACCACCTCCATTCTGACAGAATGAGATCTCGTGATAACACTGGATGTGTCTTGGAAGCGTCTGGCTTGAGTTTTCCAATTAAATTCAGTCTTAAAAATGGCAAATACAGTCTGGCTTTTTATTACTGCAATACCTTCTATCATCTCGCCTATAGCCTAGTGAACAAGACCAAACTCTTGCTCTCTAAAGTTTGGTCTTGGAACACTCCGTGGAACCTTCGCAGACCCTAGCAGCATTCTGATGGGCCAATCACAGCTCTCTATCAGGATTTCAAACCGATAAGAGCGCTGTGAATGGTCCACAGTGGTGGGCTAATCACAATGCTCTTTAGATTTTGTGGGCAATTCGGGCAGGATGATGTGACAGAGTGGAACAAGATGGCGACAGCTCATTTGAAAAGGCTTTTACATAAAGTTTGGCCTTTTTGGACTAGGGCTTTATTAGAATCAGCGCCTTGGGCTTCCTGACAGTCGCGGAAGGCGCTTTATAAATAAAGCTTTGATTGATTGATATTTAAGTCCTTTACTTAGGATAAGGATGTATTTTCACCTTTTTCAACAGCGGACTGCTTCTTTGACCGATATTCGTTGCTGTGAGTATGTCACATTGTTCGTTGTCCAGTAGCATTCCGAGACCGTTTGAAAGACAACGATAGAACCCGCCCCACGACCGAGAGCCGTCAATGGAGCACTGCGTCTGAATTTCCAGACTATTGTCTCCCCTGCATTGTGATATACTGTATATCTTATTCTAAAGATGAAAAAAGTCCAGTTGGTCATCACATGATGTGTGGTGAAATGTGTTCTCCGTGACTGACCAATCCCCTGGGGGAGTGGTGAGCTGCAGACATGGCTTCACTCGGGAACTATTTGGTGTTTAACCCCCCGATCCAAATCCTTAATGCTGAATGTCAAACAGGGAGACATTGGGTCCCATTTTTGGTATGACTCGAACGTGAAAGCCCCAATCACCCAGCAAGCAGATATTCATACAATTAGGCATGAGCTCATGCCAATGCACACCCCCAGTTAATAGTATATTTGAAGCCCATATTTTAAATATTCAAGTAGTGTATTTTATTTTTAAGCAGTAATGTCAGCGAAAACCAATTTTTCTCTATCATTCCTCCCTGTAAATGCTAGTTTATCCCATATAACTGACAGCTTAATAAAAACAGTAGCAACAATAAAAGGTAATGTGATTAAGGTAAATATTTATGTAACTATAAGAATGAAAACTTGACAGACAACAAAAAGATCACAAAAATAGCTAGCGATCCCCAAATGGCTGCAAATTATGTAGCAACCTATAAACCTGTGAGTAATCATGAAAATGATTAAAGTTTAAAAGATGAAAATAAAAAGAAAATATAAAATGAGCTGATAACTGTAGTTTGCCTTGCTGAACCAGCATGCAATGTCACAAAACCAAATAGATAAAGGTAAAACAAGAAAGGTAATCATCTCAGTAGCCATAAGGGGCAATGACTCAAACCAACCAAAACAAAATGAGACAAGCATTAAAACAAGAAAACAATAAGCAAAGTAATAAACACTACGATCAGATGTGAAAGGCTCAGAGTTACACAGCACGAGGTGCTGCAATCATTTGTCAATACAAAAATCAGCAAAAAGAAAATCATAATAAGCACAAATAAAATAATAAACACAAATAAGGCAAACACAACTGCTTACAGCAGTACACAGAGATAGAAAATAGAATCAGCTAAACCAACACAATTACAAACTTAAAAACTATTCCAAACATATTTACTGTGATGCACAACTCGAAGACCTATGGCAGTTTCTGTAAGGAGACTGGGAAGGTTTAACAAACTATATATTACCCAGAAAACATCAGGTCGGTGTAGTAAAGCATCAGGCGACTTTAGTTTAAAGCTTCACGGTGCAGACAAATCTTTCAGTGAAGCAGGAAAACTGAAGGTGGAATATCACTGTACGCATCTCTAACTATGGCAGAGCTGAGGTAAACCAGGCGTTCTTCATTAAAGGGCATGTCCGTGGACTGGGACTCGTGGTTGGAGATTAGGTTTGGAAGTCAGAGTCCTCTTCCGTAGATCAATTCAATTCAATTTTATTTATATAGTGCCAAATCACGACAAGAGTCATCTCAAGGCACTTCACATAATAAACATTCCAATTCAGGTCAGTTCATTAAGCCAATCAGAAGAATGATGCTTCCTATATAAGGAACCTAGCAAGTTGCATCAAGTCACTGACTAGTGTCAGTGATTTTACAGCAATCCTCATACTAAGCAAGCATATAGCGACAGTGGAGAGGAAAACTCCCTTTTAACAGGAAGAAACCTCCGGAGGATCCTGGCTCAGTATAAGCAGCCATCCAGTGGATCAGGATGGTGTTGCATTAACATGGTCCTTATTATTTATATTTCTGGATTAACTGCCAGGAACGAGGATGGGGGTGATGGTTTCCAGAGACCACCAAACATCGTTCATGCATTTCATCAGGCTTGCGGTTCCAAGATGGGGAAAGATGTTGTAGAAGAGTCCTTTCGCGTTGTGTGGAGTGTGGCCTTTGTGGTTGGAGAATGGGCGGAAAGCCACAACAGGCTTAAACTCTCTTTTCTTCAGCTCTGATGTCTTCAGAGAGACCCCTTCCTCTGTGATCTGAGGAGGGTTGCAGCCGAGCCAAGCTACAGGTGCTGCACCAATTGCGGGGCAGGTAGAGGTTGAGAGAAATGCTGCACTTCCAGATGTATCCAGCAGGGCTTCCCATTCCAAAGTGCGAAGAAACCTCGAGAAGATGGTTGTTTGTAGAGGTGGAAAAGTTAGCAGGGCGTGCCGAGGCAGTTGTCCATATGTCAGGGAGCTGATCTTGTCCTCGAAAAGGTCCTACAGGTCTTTGACCGTGAAACCAGTCTGGAGATTTGGGTGCAGGTGCTTGAAGTGGTTGATCCTTTCCCAGCGTCTCTTCTTCGCTGTATCCTGTTGTAGTTGTTTCCAAGGGGGCTTTCAGCCAAGGTGGATGAAGGTCACGTTGTCATGTAGGTGGGCTCAGGGGGAGCCCCAATCTGTCATTTCAGTTCCAGTTCCCCCTCAAATGCTGCTGTCTCAGTTGTTCCATCAGGTTCTGAGAGGCGGCCCAAGTGCAGGGCCATGAGTACGACCACCAACATCAACAGTGTGGTGAACTCAGCAAGCGTGAAGCCGTTCTCATCTTATCTTTCACTGGGGTAGATGTATCTCAGCAACATTCACAGCAGTGGGAGAGATGAGGAGTACTTCGAATGGACCTCTGGCTGCCCCATCTGTTTCGCTTCAGCACCTTCATCAGAACCCAATCTCCTGGTTTCACGACCTGTGGCGATAAAGCACAAGAAAATTCTGGGAGATCACTGTTGATTTTGAATTGTTTTCAGCAACAATCATCTAATATTTAAGGTACTTCCGTCCAGGCAGAGTAATAATGCAATGACTTATTAATAATGTGGGGAAACTGTTATCAGCCCAGTTATCACCCCCCTGTGGATGCATTAAGTAAATTAGGGCTCGCCAGAAACAAAACACAAACACAAACATTGCCCCACCCGATGCTAAAATCAGGTCCCACACATGTGAGGGGGAAAAAAAAAAATCAGGGACTGGCAATTACTATTACCAGCAGGGGGCAGAGTCCTGCAGCACAGTGTACATAAAACCAAAACCAAATAAGCCAAACTAAAATAAACCCACATAATCTAAGAAACTAAATAAAACCATAATCCATGTAAAGGATACTGAAAATAAAGACAAAGTGATTTACATCACAGCAACAGGAGAAGCCGTAGTGAAAAGAAACAACCCATCAGCTTCCCCGATCAATAACAAAACAAAAGCACCATAAAGCCTACGTAGTCTCTCTCATTAGGCCAAAACTATCACCTCTAGTGGCCTCATAATTCAATCTCTTTGTGTCCAACCTTTGAATTAACAACAGATCAACAGAAAATAAAACTCATTAGACAGTGAGTGATCAAAAACCTAACAACTGGAGGTGACCTTAAATACACATCACCCTAAAGGTGTTTAAAGGCTTTCCACAACAAAAGAAAATAACACATAAAAATATACACAATAAAGAAATGACACATAGATAAAAATAAAACAAAAGACTGATTCATCTGTACCACCACAAAGCAGCTATCAGGTCATCTCACTACTGACCAAATCCAAGGGACATGTAAGACAAGTGTCACCTTATAATGCTTGTCTAGCGATTAACAGAACGATGATGATGAGTCAAGGGCAGAGGACTGTCTAATGGGCTGTCGTTCAGTCCTCATGATAAGAAAGTGGGAGCTGATCTACTCCAAGGCAGGGATTTAGTCAAAACAGCAAGCGCTCACCAACCTACAAGAACGGGTTTCAACATCCCTGAAGTCTCATGGAAACTAAATCAAAGTTCGGGACAACTTCAGTGTAAGGGAGATTTGTTTAGACGACTTATTAGTTAGGAAATTTCAACAGTCAGCCTTTAAGATGTGTAAGATGTAAACAACATAATGCAAAGAAAAACAACCCATGGTCACCCAAAAAGCCATCCACCTGCAATAGATAGTATTTTGAAGATAGATAGAGTTAGATTTGTAACAAAGTTCTACATTGGTATAACCATTGTATTTAAGAATCAAAATAAAAACAAATAGAACATATAAACAAAATCAAATTTGAACGAAAAGGAGCAGAATGAAGAAAAATATCCCATAATTTCTGTTCCCTTTTTCCAGAAGAAATAATTTATTTACATACAATTCCATTTGCCAGACACACATACAGATTCATTCTCAACTTCTTCCTGGTCTCAATGTCACGCTGACGGGCAGGAGGTTTGAACCCAAGATGCAGAACACCAGATCACGCAGACAGGAGCGGAGTTAATGAAATTAATTCCTTATTCTTTAAGGTGAGGCTTAATCCAGCGGTTAAAAACACAAAAACTGAGGCCTAGTCCACACGTAGCCGGGTTTATTTAAAAACGAATATCCGCCCCTCCAAAAACCTGCATCCACACCACCTCCCTTAAAAAAAAAACTCTGTCCACACGTACCCAGATAAATACGTTGTTAAGGACATGCCAGACCTGTAGGCGGCAGTACGTCCCCCGTTCTTAACCTCGTCCTTCGTCTGTGGTCTTCCGCAAGGAGCAGTAATTCCGCTTGCAAAAACAAACAAGCAAAAAGCGCTTGGACAATTGATAAAGCGAGCGCAGCTCTGAGGGCATCCATGCTGTCGGCTAGTGTAAACACAGGTCGCACACATGATGTCAGCATTTTTTGTCGTGGAAAGTGACGTTGCGGACCTTAAAACTCCGGTTTTGTCTGTCCACACACAGACACCCAAAACGGAGAAAACGCAGATCTTCACTTTGGCCGGAGTTTTAAATAGATCCGTTTTCGTGTGGATGACAGGCCAAAACGTAGAAAAATATCTACGTTTTGGCAGATCCCCGGCTACGTGTGGACAGGGCCTGAAGTTTCAAAAACAGGAGCAAGGACTCAGGCAAAAACACGGGAGGACACAGAACAGCTCAGACATATACAATGAACCGACAAACACTGAAGGACAAGACAGGGGTTTTAAACACAGAGGGAGGTAATCAGGGGAACAGGTGGCAGGTGTGCGTAGTGAGAGCCAATGTTGATGTTTACAATTCAAAAATGGGACGGGAAACCACATCAACTGGCCAACTGAGTTTCAAGCGTGCAAACTCTGTTTTTAATTGAAGGCCTTTGCTTTTATTTGTTTGACATTTTCATTCAACAATTAATTCCCAAAACCTTCCAGATTTTTGCTTCAGCCTCATGGCTGATAGAATAAAAAGACCTAAATTAATAAATGCAAATTACCCACAGCAGCTTTAATCTGCTGTGTCATATAACTTATCACATGTAACATATCACAGGATCCACTAATCGGAGGTTTGAACAAGTTTTTACATATGGACGGCAGAAAGATTCAAGTGATGACAAACAACATTTTAGAATACTCAAAATGCAGTTTTGAAATCAAACATGTAGTGCAAGACTGGTTTCATGTTCACCCGGGTGTGGTTTGTCATCAGATTAACTCCCCTTTAAACGTCAAAGAAAAAGATTCAAAACCAAGAATTGAAAACAAAACAACAATACAAGAAGATGAAATTCAAAACAACAGTCATTAGGTCTGGATTATCGTTTGGACCAAATATATATGCCTCGTTTTATTTGGGTCACCAAAGGTGACACAGTTTATAATCCAAATTATTTTAATACCAGAATTTAAACCATTTTATCCACTTTCATAACCATCCCCCATTTGCTATGAAAGCTTCATGAAGCATGGCTTAAAGAAAAGGGAACGAGTAGAACCAGGAGAGGCGATCATCTCTACAACCCTCTATAATCATAGGGGCCAATGCGGTACAAATCAAGCAAACCACGACAAAAATCGTAAGCCTCAAAACAAGAAAAATAATGATGAACCATACGATTAGATAAGAAAGGTTCAGAAACAACTTGATGAAGGGAAATCACAGCATGTGGAGCTGCATACGTTTGGCTATTACGGATGGTAATCTCAATCCTGATAATTTCATCCCAGGAATCATTCCACATAAAATGTAAAAATAAAAATAAACCCACACGGAGAGTCTCAGATGAAGAAAAAAACAATCAACAGCTGTGCTCGATACCAAAACAAATAAATCACAATTTGAAGAACCTGTTCAAATTATATTTTTCATCGTTATTTTGTAGCTTTAACCTTCAGGCCTCAATTGATAAGACCTTACTAGCTCAGTAGTAACCGTTTGTTTGGGATATCTCTCGTAGTGGGCCGGCTGTGTCTCTTGGCTCCTGTCTGAAACGGGAGTGATCAGGCTGGAGATTGATATGCACACAGCTAGTTCGGTTTTCTGGTCTTTTGGAGCCTTTACCTCTATTATAACCTCCTTGGTTCACTCGTCCCCCACCACGGCCATGTGGTTTAACACTCTCCCTTCACACACACACACAAACAGATTGAGCTTCAAAAGCACTTCCTGACACACACACAGAGCGACTCCCCTTTAAAACAGCAACCAAAAACCGGACCAGAGCACCAAGCCAAGAACCACACACTTACAGACCAAGAAAATTTGAGAATGTAATTGGATTGTTTCGTTTTAATTTGATTGTTCATTCAGCTTTTAGCTTTGGGCGTTACTTTTTTCTACAGGGTTAAGCGACTTGTTTTAGAATCAATTTAATTTCCTTCTTTTGAGTATCAGTTGTGATCGTATTTCAATTTTGTACCTTTACAGCACCTTACAGAAATGCTTATTAATCGAACCGACAGTGTGACTTATTAACCTAATTTGTCCTTAATTTATCTGCACATCACGTCCTTTACAACCCCGTAAGACATCAGGCTGACCCCATCAATCTTTGCAATCTGCATCTCTAATGCTTTTTCAATTCTTTTCTGTGTACTGAGTAAAGCATTTCCAAAGCACTCCAACGCAGACAGCATCCAAAGAATCCGTCAAACCTTCCTTTCACGGTGGCAAAGGAGTATGCGCCAAGCCAAATAGTAAAATTTAGAGTTATGATCCGACTGCTCTTTAACGAGGAGTGAGGCCGTTGACATCACACCTTTTAGTATGGCTTTTTCCCTTTGTTCTGCTATTCTGTATTATTACCGCCACACCTGAGACCGCAGGGGGTTGAGCTGAATGCGTCGATTCAGCTCTGTTTACAACCTTTTCCGGTAGCGTCCGGTTTACTGTTTTTTTCTTTCACATTTGTTTCACACAGTTTATTAACCGGACAGCCGGACCTAGGGAAATACTCGACACCCGTCGGGGCTCAAAGCGTCCTTTGGGCCTGAATAGCAGAACGAAATCACACTGCCAAATAAAAAAGGGTTCTTACTCCTGGGGGTGGGCGATATAGCCTAAAATCTATATTGCGACATAATTTGAAAAATGTGCGGTAATTGTATATACTGCGATAAATGACTTTCTTTTGTATATAAGTCAAAATCGACTGTTTCTAAACATACCCACATACCAGATACATTGCAGCAGCAGAATAAACACTTCAAACAGTATAAAATGCCATAATAAGAAAATTTATTGTGCAAAAATCAAAAAGCTTTACGAGTAATATTTAAGATGTGTAACACCATTCTTTAATAAAAATAAAATTTTGGATATTTTGGCACATCTGTTTGGCTGAAGTGTTTGCGGCTCGGTACCTCGTAACGTGGATCGAGTGTCTTAATCATGTCCCGAAAGCCGCTTTTCTCCACTGTAAGAAACGGCACCATGTCCTTACACAGGTATGTGGTAATGGCATTTGTAATATCAATCCATCGTTGATTATTTCTCTCATACTGAGTGCCTTTAGCAAATGCTTGTAAAATATCCGTCTGCTGGTGTGTAAGACCACCTTTTTTCTTACTGCTCGACTGACTGGGCGTTTGTTGAGGATGCAGTTTTTGGCTTTCTTCGTATTCCACAACATGCTTCGTTTTGAGGTGGTAAAACAAATTATATGTATTCCCTCTATTCGCTAATACTTTCTTCCGGCATACTTAGCAGATTATATTGTTCTGCTCCACATCCGACTCCTTAAAGCCAAACCAAGTCCAAATGACCGATGTTGCCCCGGTCTTCTTTACGAGAACCTCCTCCTCCTCCACCACAGGCTCCATGCTTTCATCCTCAACAGACGCCGCTTGATGACGTCATCAACATGCGCTACCGCGATAGGCCGATATAGTCAAAATTTCTACAGTTGGCCAAATTAATATCATTTCTACCGTATACCGTTTATACCGCCCTCCTCACCTCCCCCCCTGTGCGTTCGGTTCACCCCGAATCTGAACGCACGAGAGCCGTTGGCGGAAGACATCCTGCGGAGCTAGAACAGCCGGCCAGCGGAGCAATTCAGCCCCCTGGGCTTTGAGGAAAGCGGTGCGCCCCGTCGGCTCCCCGGAGAAAAGCCTCCCACGGCGGGCTCCGTGCGGTCGGTCACGGCACCAAAAATGTTGGGTTATTTTTTTATGAAACCAGGTCACCTTAAAGAGAAGTCAAACGCACAGAGGATTAGAGCAATATTATTGTTCAGTTTTCTTTGCAAAGGGAGAAAGGTGAAGCAATGAACATACAAACCCATAAGCTTGGTTCACACAGTCTCAGAGAACATCCGTTCTCTCAGGGCTTTTACTACACACACGAGCAATGCACACACATCACATCACATTCCTAAACTGCTCTGTAGACATTCAGGTGGAAAGCTGTTTAACGTAGGGAGTAAAAACAATGCCACAACTCCCTCATACAAAACCAGGTGCATTCAGTCAACATTCTGTGTCCCATGGGAGTATAACTGATAACACAGACCAGCGTGGTCTGAGGAAGGTTGTTGTCCTCCCTGTTGAGACGGGAAAGCGCACAAAGGATAACACTTGCATTTTAATGAAGCAACAAGTGTTTTACTTATAAGGCAGCTATGATTTTAAGCAGTAATATCAGCGAAAACCAATTTTTCTCTATCATTTACAGGCAGGGGTGCAGATAGGATTTTCAGACTGGAGGGGACAAAGTTCCAATGTACCCTCCCCCAAACACACACACACACACACACACACACACACACACACACACACACACACACACACACACACACACACACACACACACACACACACACACACACACACACAAACTATTGCAAGCGCCTTAACTAGAGCTCAGTCAGTTTGTGTAATTTCATCCAATGGTTTACGTAAAAACGAACACTATTATATACGTGTTTGAAGCCATTATGCAGTGGAAAACTGGCAACAAAGCTCTGCCTGATCAACACTATAAATGATAAATGATCCGCACTTGTATAGCGCCTCTCAGAGTAAGGACTCCAAAGCACTTTACATTACAGCGTATCATTCATCCATTCAGACACACATTCACACACTGCTGGTGATGAGCTACGATGTAGCCACAGCTGTGCTGGGGCGCACTGACAGAGGAGCCCCACTATTTAATTCAGTCATTTGTTATTCTCCCAATCAATTACAAACCAAAACCTCATGCTTTATGCAAAACATTAAATGATTTTCAGCATACCAATCTTTACAGAAAACATAAAAGCCCTAAAAAACTGCACATAAAATATATTAAAAAAACGAAATTCACTTATCACTTAGAGCAGTAGTTCCCAAACTTTTCAGCCTGACCAACAGATGTTCCTTGGTATTTTTACGTTATTTATAAATCTTCATTATATTTGGAAAGTTTTAATTTATATATAAATATATAAATCTCTTTTTAAATTTTATATTTTACCTTTTTCATGATTATATGGCACACTTGACTTCCATACATAACGCATTGGCATCTGCCCCTTTTTACGGCTTTCTTTTTTTAATTTTTTTTTTACATTGTCGCTACGTCTGTCACGTTTGCGGTGTTTTACCATTATTTCTACATCCATCACGTCCCAGAGAAGGTTAAACCAACATCAAACCCAATATGTGGAGCTTGTAAACTCCACACACCTCTCATGCAGCACCAGCTGTCTGATGCTGCAGCAGCGTCAATCTTCCCGGCTGGATGAGTGAATTTCTTCATCAGAGTCAATATTCTGCTTCATAATCAGAGTCAGTCATGACCAGACAAAGTGATCAGTCAGCAAAGACCAGACCTTCCAGCAATTATACGTTTTATCTAATATTTGCGCTCTTCACGTTGCGCACATCTCCTCCTCTCCCCGACTGGGAGCCTCTCGGCGGGAGGCATTTTTCAAGCTCTAAAAACTCCCAAACTTTGCTCAGCCTGAAGGTTACACATCTCCACTATCTTCTGGTGTAAAGTATTAACTTCATGAGGGGTCATATTTGTAGATGAGACTTGTAGTCAGCAATGAGGCTTTGGCGCTTATAACGAGTAAGTCCCAACACTGACAACAATGCACTGAAACTAGAACCAACATGCATAAACAGACAGATCGGACCCGCCCACTTACACTGTTGGTCTTTTTTAAATACACAGTAATCGTTGTTTGCCTTTTTTGCTTCATCCTGCATCCTAGCAGCAACCACTTTGGTGCCTCTGGAGTCTGTCTGTTTACGTCATGCTGCATTCAATGTAATTGGAAAAAGGAGCTTCAAGCGCTTAACCTCCGATTTTGTTTTCTTTCTGGCCTTAGTTGGGGGGGACGGATCGGGGTCGATCTGAATCTGGGGGAGACAGATCCCCCCCTTTCCCCTATCTGCGCGCCTGTTTACAGGTATATTTTTTATAGCTATGGATGCTGCTACAAAAAATGGGCAACTGCTTTCAATGGTGTGGGCAGAACATTTTGGCTGATAAAGAAAACTTACCAGCCTCCTGGAGCAGCTTTAGCTGTAGTTCCTCTGAAATCTTCCCTTTAGTTTTTAAATCATCAAGAAGTGACCCCAAAATTTGTTTCTGCCTCCTCTCACGATCCTTGGCATTTCTCAGTTGGCGTTCCAGTTCCTCCACTCTTGCTTGAGCCTCGCGTAACTTAATTTTAATTTGACCAGGGTCCAGAGCATAGTGATGATCCTGTGAAAAGGAAATATTTGTTTAGTATAAAACTCCTTGTTCTAACAGTGTTGTGGATAAAAGCAATTTTGATATACTTACAGAAGCTGAAGGCTTCTGAGGCTCTGGAGGTTTAGAAACAGGCACGGGATCATTACTTGGCTCAAGAGTGCGCTGTGATGTCCTAGTTGATCTGATTTTTATGGGACCCTACAAATTCAATAATAAACGTTGAAAAATACAGATAAATGAAATATTAATTATCTGATTCAGTGCATGTTTGTTATGTTTGCAAATAATCTTTTGTGTGCCAACCTTCTTTAGATGATCCGGAAATGATTCAAATATGGATGGGATCACAGCTTCCCTCAATCGAACAGTTTGTCCAGTTCGGTCAAAATCCTTTTCTTTGAAATGACTGCTGCAGAGAACTGTTTTACGAGAAGGCTTGAAGTCCCTCCGTCTAACAGCTAAGATCCAAGCTTTCCTAAGTGTAACATCTTTAGGAAACCTTTAAATAAAACAATCATATCAGCACTTCTTTAACACTTTGCAGTTATTGCATCAAATACACTATTATGATTTTAGTTTCATATCTAAGTCATAGCATGTCAGATCACTTTTATAACTGTCTCAAGCTCAGTTAACAAATGAGAACACAAAAATATAACAAATAGCAACTTACTGGTGAAAGGTTACCCCCTGGCCTTTGCTAAGAGGTGTCCTTCTGTTCTTACAGCCGTAAGCTGCACAAGACACGGGCATTTGTCAAATATGATCAAGTTAACAAAAGAGCTGATTTAATCATACGGTGCTGAAATGGATGCCCTATCCAATATGGCGGGCACGAAGACGTACGACTCAGTAGCAAACGAGGCATTTATGTTTTATACATCTTCAGGCGCATGTAAAGGAGTAACAGACGTAAAATAGTCGTTAAAAAGTGAACAAAACATGCCAAATGTAAATGTTTTTTGTAAACTCTCCAAACATCGATGCAACAGCACTTCCTCTCGTGTTGGCGCTGCGTGGTCTCGAAATACCAGCCCGTGGAAAGCAGGGAATCTGGCAAGCCGTTGTTACATATAATCAAAAACACGCTGGTCAACGTTCAGATTTGCATTATAAAAACAAGTCATAAAACGTTCTTACTTGAAAAATTAAGTTCCCCGTCTGAAATTTTATTTGTAAAACAAAATATCTCAATAATGTTTAAAATCCTCAACTTGTCATATAATAATTTATGATTGCAGTTATCTGTAATTTAATTCTTATTGGCGAGAACGAGTATTTGGCAAATTAGGAAGATTTCTTCGCCCAGTCAGCTGATCTTTCAAATTATTTTCCTTATTAATTCTTTCATGCGTTCATTTCCTATTTCAAGCATACACATGTTTAGGTCCAGATTGCAATTTGTGGATGTCTAGATGATGTTAACTAATACGAATGCAAAGGGGCTTTTTTTCTAGAAGTTTTGTCGATTCAAGACTGCTGAAAGTTCATTTAGAGTTTTAGATTAAATACTTTGACCCAATAATTATATGACAAATGAGCTTACCCAATATTCGTGTCGTGCAGAGTTTCTTCTTCGTTGGTGTCTTATGCCATGTTTGCGGAAGCTTGGTTGTTTAAGCTAGCCATAACTCAAATTTAGCCACTTTATGTTGTAAATATTCCAACTTCTTGTATTTTACCGTCCAAAATGAATCTGCCAAAGGGACCAGATTCTCTGTGCTTCGACAAGGATGTTTTTATGAAGGTGAGTTTGTTAAATTTGCGTCATTTTAGGAAGCTAACGTTAGCTTGTGTCATTACTCCTTTAGAATATCAGTGAGCGTGCATTTAAACGTTTGATTCGCATATCTACTATGTTAAAGTTATTAAAATTTTATTTGCAGCACACAATTAAAACTTATTATAAACTAATCATTGTTAGTACTGGTCGTTGTCTTCAAATCAAATGCGCATAAATCGGTACTCATTACTAAACAGATTATTTTAATGTAATATTGAAATATTCTTAGAATAATATATTCAAACACGTTAGAGAGTGTACTGGCTAAGGCCTTTGGCTCATACATTTCTGTAACTGCATTTTTAGAAATGTTATTTCGTTTTCTTTACATGTTCCATTTCGTTTTCTTTACATGTTCCAACGATGTTATTTTTTCAAAAATTCCTCTCTTTGCAGGAAGATTTTGATGTTGACCAGTTTGTCACTGAGTGTCGAAAGCAGGTTCAGCTGGAGGAGATGAGAGAGGATCTAGAGCTGTACTACAAGCTGCTCAAAACAGCCATGGTGGAGCTCATCAACAAGGACTATGCGGATTTTGTCAACCTCTCCACCAACCTGGTCAGTGGTTATTTGAAGCTATCCACATTTTGACTCACAGTTTCAGGCAGATAAGGAGAAGAATGCCCGTTTTAAAGAAAATATGAGTAATTGGAAAGTAATATAGGTCAATCGAAGAAAGAACATTTTACTCAAGAAATTGTTGTTGATAAGCTGTTTTAATTGTTTAAACAATTCAATCAAGCATAAATGAAGATTATTATTTTTTTGCTGTCACTGTCAGACTGTGCTTTAAAGCTTGTTTTTTTTTACAGTAAGTTTTACAGTAGATTGGTATTTTTAAATATCTTCTAATCTGATCTTTCATAATTTCAGGTGGGGATGGACAAAGCTCTAAATCAGCTTTCAGTTCCTCTGGGACAACTGCGAGAGGAAGTTATGGTACTTGTCCTTAATAAATAAAGAATATTTGATCTAGAGCTGCACAGTGTGTTCAAGCATGTTTCTGTTCTTTTACGGAAGAGTCTGCGGTCTTGTGTAAGTGAAGTGATCCAAGCTATTGACAACCAGCTGTCCAAACAGGAAGACCTGCAGAAGAAGAAGGTTTGAATCCCCATCCTGTTTGACTTAAATTATCATTTATTTTGTATTGGTCATTATCATCTCTACTAATAATACCTAGCATAGGTCTAGGACATATTGCACAATATATCATGAGTCATGTTTTGAATATTTTAATAGTATTATTACTTGTATATGTGTTTGATTTATTTAGAATTTGGTCTTATTTAAAATTAATTTTCCTGTCTCTAACAATATTCATCAGGTGTGTGTGCTGAGGCTGATCCAGGTGGTGCGCTCCGTGGAGAAGATTGAAAAAATCCTCCATTCACAGAACTCCAAGGATTCAAATTCTCTGGAAATCGGCAGGTGAGATACCAGTAAAACTACCGGTATCCGTCAGTAGATTTGAGTTGCAAATGTGAACAAATATAGCATTTTAATTTTTTCATTTGTTTAAAATAGTGAGAGCAGTGTGTGTGTGTGTCAATGAGTAGACAGAAACAGTCCATGCAGTTGTTTTGTGTTCTTCACCCTTTTTTCCATGCTCCTTCATGTCTGTGTGACTGAGCACATCTGTGTCTGTGTGCAGCCCCTTGTTGGAAGGTCATATCCTGGAGAGGATTGCTACAGAATTCAACCAGCTGCAATTCCATGCAGTACAAAGCAAAGGCATGCCCCTCCTGGACAAAATCAGACCTGTAAGTGTTAAAAAAAACTCTGCTGGACAGACTGCTGATGAATCTTGTGCCTCTCAGCCAGTCAATCAAACAACTTCCTGCTTTCTATCGATCTGTCATAGTTATCTGATAATCAGCTGCTATGCTGTTGTTTTTAGTGAGGAGGTAAAGAGTATCAGGGCTTCCGAAACACTTGAACATGTTTGATTTGCTCTGACAGCGTATTGCGGGGATCACCTCCATGCTGCAGCAGTCTCTGGAGGGCCTGTTGATTGAGGGCCTGCAGATGTCCAACGTGGACATGGTGCGTCACTGCCTGAGGACCTACGCCACCATCGACAAAACTCGAGATGCTGAAGCCCTGGTGGGACAGGTGCTCGTCAAACCCTACATGGACCAGGTAAACGTGCCTAACATTGTTTTATTCAGATAGAATTTTTTTTTAGGGATGGCATCAATATCGGTATCCGCCATTGTTAGTCATTTTTTAACATATCGGTATCGGTCCGATAAATAAAACAGGGCCAACATTAATAACCAATATTTTTTCCGTCTTGTCTCAATTAGTTTGCCCTATTTCAGAGAGTGAGAGGGGTGATGTGTAATTGTTTAGTCATGTGAACAGTGAATGTAATCATCTGAGAAGCGTAAATGTGTGTTGTGTGTACATAATAATGTAAGTTCGACTTTAATAATTTTTATTTTATGCAAAATTGCTGATTTTAGAAGTATTAATGTCAGTATATCGCTATCGGCAAATATCGTTATTGGCCACAACAGTGATCTTGATATCGGTATCAGCCAAAAAATGTCTTATCAGTGCGTCACTAATTTTTTTCCCATATTGTAATGTTTTTTTTTTGTTGGTTTTTTTTTCAATATCTGGATGAAGGTTTGCTCCTAAAGATGGTTATTTAAATGACTGAGTTTACCATTCTAGTAATATGAATGAAACTGTCCTCATTTATTTATTTATTTATTATTTTCAGGTGATAGTTGAAGAAGTGGTGAAGTCCAATCCAAATGGTCTCCAGATGATGTACACCAGACTGCTGGAGTTTGTTCCTCACCATTGTAGGCTGCTCAGAGAAGTGACTGGAGGAGCCATATCCAGGTATTTACCTGCCTGTTGAATAAAACTCAATTTCACTTTGTTTCTGGGTCAGTACTATCGGGGCTGGCTCGCGTCAGGCCAGGCTTGTACGGATGTTTTTTTGTTCACATTATGGTTCCCACAGACTTCTCAGGAATGTGGAAATACCCGATAACGTGGGCTGTGCAAAAGGCGCGTGGAAAACTCTGGTGTTTTCCTTAAGATAAACAAAGGCAGGCTCTGTTGCTTTTGGAGACTCTGAACCACATTATTTTATTCATTTGCCCTCTGTTTTCTTACTGAAACTGCTGTGCATCCTCGTAACACTCTGTCCACCACTGCTGCAGCTGTGGTCACGGCTGCTTCTCCCTGCTCCCTCCTTTCTTGTCCCACTGAGCAGCAGTCTGCCGCCACAGTGGATCGGGAGCTCCATGCTGCAGACAGAGAGGTGTTTACACCACAGCATCCAGACTGATAATGAATCGTGCATGCGGGAAGCCCCTGCTGGCTGATTCTACCCTCCAGTCAGAGGCGACAGGCGTGAATTTCAGCCGGCCAATCAGTCAAAAGTGTCACCTTGGTCCCAGTCGGACCGCTGAGTAAGAGTTCTTTAATAGTCACCTCAGAATGGAAAACCCACATATGACCCAGATGTTAAACCGCAAAAGGGATCCAGCCCATACCGTACTGACCCAGACGTGAAAGCAGTATAAACTTCACTTATAGGATCATTAAGTTTGTCGAATTTGCACAGTCACACGAGGAACGGGAGGAAATCTTATTTTTGTAAAAATTATAACTTGAATTCAGAAAAACAATTTTTAGTCAAGTTAATTCACTACGCTTCTGTAAGCTCTTTCATTATTTATTTTCTTTTGCTTTTTTCCCCTCAGTGACAAAGCGGACACAGTTCCAGGTTATGATTTTCTGGTGAACTCCGTGTGGCCTGAGATGATCAGAGGAATAGAGGAACGGCTGGCCTACATCTTCAACCCAGGAAACCCTGATATATTCTATGAGGTGTGTACTGAGATTCTCATGCAAAAGTTGTAAAAAATCCTGTTGTTTTAACGAGGCTTGTATGTTGTTATTGATGTTTCAGCGTTACAGCGTTAGTGTGGAGTTTGTACGGCGGTTTGAGCGACAGTGCAGCTCTCAGGCCAGTGTGAAGAGACTCCGGGTTCACCCTTCATATACGAGTTTCAACAACAAGTGGAACCTGCCCGTCTACTTTCAGCTACGGTGAATTTTACCTTCGTTTGTTTAAAAATTTTCATACTAGGTATGTTTGATTGAAAAATGTGTTGTTCATCCATCTAATGAATATTAGAGTTAAGTAAGATCGGCCTAGGGCTGGGCAATAAATAGAACATTTCTTGTTGTCAAAATTTCGGACTCTAACCAATATCGTTTTTTCCCATGTCAATAAATTTGATAATTTAAAAAAAGAAGAAGAAAAGATGTGTTTAGGCTAGCCATGTTCATGTCCCTTTTAAGAAGCTGTACCGCATCAAGTAACATGACAACGTGACTCAAAGTAATACACATGAGAGCCCCATCTAGTGGACAACGTTTGATTCTGCACACATGTAGTTATCGTGGATTTACCGAGATGAAATCCTCAATATACTGTGATATTGGTTTTAGGCCAAATCACCCAGCCCTAGATTAGCCTAAAGTTACAGTTTGTCCCCCTTTAAACCATGCTAGCTTATGATTATGCTAGCAAAATAGTTAAATGCACGTCTCAATAGCAGTTTAGAAGTCCGGGTATTTTTTAAAAATCTCTCAAGATCTTTTATTTTACTGTGGCATAATCTATTTTCTATTTGTAAAAAAGAAAAAGTACTTATTAGCATACAGTTATACAAATATTATTTGAGCCCGATATCAGTAAAAGCAGATTTTCTGCACTGTGTGTTCTTTTGTTTTCGGTGTGGAATCGAGTGTTTGAGTTTTCAAGAGTTTTTCTGTAGATAAAGATGACTTGGCAGATGCTCACGACTTGAGCAAAGCCCAGGTTTACTGGAACCTGGGAAATTGCTTATGGCCGTGAGTTTTATGAAGGATAATGACTGAAGCCAAATGTAAATTGTGGTTGTGTGTCAACGTTTAGGTAATTATAGCTCTTAAATGTGACTAGACCTGAAGAGAATGACCTCTGTCTGTCTGTCAGCCTCCTCCAGCACACGCACACTCACTCTCTCTCTCTCTCTCTCTCTCTCTCTCTCTCTCTCTCTCTCTCTCTGTCTCTCTCTCTCTCTCTCTCTCTCTCTCTCTCTGTCTCTCTCTCGCTCTGTCTGTCTGTATCTCTCTCTCTCTCTGTCTGTCTGTCTCTCTCTCTCTCTCTGTCTCTGTCTCTGTCTCTCTCTCTCTCTCTCTCTCTCTCTCTCTCTCTCTCTCTCTGTCTCTCTCTCGCTCTGTCTGTCTGTATCTCTCTCTCTCTCTCTACCCCTAACACATGGTAATGCATGACTCTCATCGCTTTTCAGGTACAAGGAAATAGCTGGACGCTTGGAGAACACCATAAATGATGGATTAGAAGCAGCACCAGGTAAGAATTTATCCTCTAATGCCCATTTCTGTATGAACTGAAAAACGTATTAATGTTTTAATATTTGTTCATATCCAGCCGGTAGCTCGTACCGCCTGCAGGTCTCTGAGGTGCTGTGGTCCTGTCTAGTGAGGTGCTGGTCAAATGGTGTGTACCTGTCACCTCTGGCACATCGCTTCTGGAAACTGACACTGCAGCAATACTCTCGATACGCCAAGTTTCTAGTTGAGGTAAGCTTGAATTCTAAAGATAAAAGCTGTTCTAAACAGACCAATGAACTGCTAGCTGATATCTTGCTGTCGTTTCTCATTTTGGTCTGTGTCTGCGCAGGTGTTGACAAAGACTGAGGTACCAAAGGAGCCAGTCAGGCCTCTGCCGAGCTCAGCCTCCTCCACATCTAGTCGAACATCAGTGGAGGAGGGAGGCAGTGAGAGTGGGGGTCCTGCCTTTCTGTCCACCAAACAGCTGGTTTACATAGCAGCCGACGTCCAGAAGCTGCAGGAGCAGGTGCGCATGCGCACACACTCGCAGACTGCTTATTGGTCAGAGAGAGAGACATCACCTGCAGTAGTCTGCAGCAGCTCTAGTGCTAACTCACTTGAGTTTTTACAAGCAGCACACAGCTTACAGTATAAATGACAGAGATGTCATTTTTGCACATTTCATGCATGATTCCACATGGATTTATGGATGACCTCCGTAGCTTGGGTTTGATATGATTGCTTACAAAATGTGTTCAGTCTTTTTTTCAACACGGGCTTTTCACGAACTAACTGCAAAATACACTTCTACTTGTAATTTTCTTTGAGTTTCAAACTTTTGCAGTACATATAAAAATCATATCACATAGTAGCTTTTAGCTTCTGCACTCCTCTATCGTTCCCATACTCAGTCGTTTTCCTCCTCAGATCCCAGAGTTGTCGGCGATGATCAGGCAGCGGCTAGAAGCCATTGGATTCAAAAACTTTGCTGTTATAGAAGGTGAGCTGTCCATGGCTGGTCTCATCATACACAATCCATGTAAATAATAAAAAATGAAGAATAACTAGAATTTCTTGATCTTTATAAAGTATTGAATATTCTGTTTTGGATGTCAGGTCATCTAAAGTGCCATTTTTTTATTCAGTAAAATATCACTTGTTTGTAAAATATGACCTATTTCATTGCTTCAGCACAAGTAAACAGCATGTATTTGCTTATTTACGAGCCCGTTTTTGTTTCTCAGATGCTCTCGCGGACTCTCGGGCTTGCCTGTCCAGCAGTATTCCTTCGCTGAACAGCAGGATGACGCTGCATCTAACTGAACGCTGCTGCCGCTTCCTGAAGAGTGCCTCCGAGGTCCCTCGTCTCTACCGCAGGACAAATAAAGTAAGCTGATATGTTTGCCCTGGTTCTTATGGAGAAATGTTGTCCCACATGTTTTGGACTAATTGTTTTGAAGGAGAACAGTCTATTTGGGCTTGAAGGGTGTCATCCAGGCAAGACTGATGGTGTTATTAGTTAATTCAATAAATAAAGTAGTTTAAAGTTCGAACAAACAACTGACATCATTTAATCTTTGTGAAGGATGTGCCCGTGCGGGCATCAGCTTACATGGAAAACGCCTTACAGCCGTTGCATCAAGTTCTGACTGACTCCACGGGGTCCGTCACCCCCCAGATGGCACAAGAATGGCTGCGAGTTGCACTTGCTGAATGCACACAGAAGTAAGCTTATGTTGCACATCTATTTAAAAAAGTAGATCAAAACGGAATGAAAGCACTTTAAAATGTTCATTTTTCATCTGCTGTTCAGATACTATGAGACCATCTCTGAAGTCCTGAGCTCAGTGAGGAAGATGGAGGAGAGTCTGAAGCGTTTAAAGCAAGCCAGGAAGGGTGCATCAGCAACTACCACAACAGGAGGGAACGGTGGGCCGTCGGACGACGGCAAGATTCGTCTGCAGCTGGCACTGGATGTGGAATATTTAGGTGAACAGGTACGTGATGTTTCAGTGCATGAACAGAAACCACCTGAGATACATAAACTATGGTCTAACCCTGCTGCTGTGTGTCTCAGATCCAGAAAATGGGCCTTCAGCCGAGTGACATCACCATGTTCTCCACCCTGATGGATCTCGTGAAGGAGGCCAGAGAACTGGCAGAACAAAATAAGTAGAATACTGACTCTAAAGTGACTTTTAACCTCTGAATGTTATGTGCTCCGCTGCAGACTTGTGTGGCAAACATTTGTCCCAGGTTATGCAGAAAGAAGGATGTCCCAGGTTGAGACGAAGAGGGAAGAGAACTGAGATCCTGAAGCCATTCTGCAAACCTCAGAGTCACACAAATATTACACAAAGTGCTGAGGGACTCTGTGGCATCATATACTACTGTGTAGTAATATGCACCACTTTGTACAAACTGTTGTACCAATAATCAGTTGGGTCTGAATGTTCTGTAGTAAGAGGTTCAATTTTTATTTATAAAGGGAAAAATCAGCCTGAGAATATTTGTCTAATTTGTTTCATTTCAGATTAAATATTATATTAATAATTATGACATTTAATTGAGAAATTAACAGTGAGATTATGAATAAACGGAAGGGCTTTTGGTTATATTTGACTGAGTGTGTTTGAATTGAGAGATTGAATATTTGTTAACCATTTGTTTACATGACATGTTTTATTCTTGACTCATATTGAAGCTGAAACTCTCTTTAAAGGTCAGATTTACTCATATTTTTAGTACATCTGCAGTGGTCTAGCAATGCCTTAATACAGGGGTGTCAAACTCATTTCAGCTCAGGGGCCACATTGAGGGAAATCTTGTCCCAAGTGGTCCGGACCGGTAAATTAAAAACAACTTCAGATTGTTTTCTTTGTTTTAATACAATCAATATCAAACAAGGCTGGAGCCTGAGGACAGTGTATCCAAAATAGTACAAGTACAACACCTGAAGTGTACTTGAAAATTTGAAAAAAAAAAAAAAAATCAATAAATTTAAATAAAAAAACATTCCTTAGTGATTCAAAGAGCTTACAGATCACATGGCTAGATCAGTTTCATGTAGCACTTAAAATATATTTGACTCATTTTACTTTACATCTTTTAGCTTTCACCAGCACATCAATATCAGGAGTCACATCCTGAGTGGCGGCCAACTTCAGGATGTGATTCAAGTTCTTGTGTGAGCCTTGAGCGCAGCTTTGTTTTATTTATACTCATTACAGAGAAAACTTTCTCACAAATATAAGTTTATTTTCACTCTACATTGTAAAGTTTACACAACCATCTCGCGGGCCGGATTTAACCTGCTTGTGGGCCAGATCCGGCCCGCAGGCCGCATATTTGACACCCCTGCCATAATAAGTTGTTTTCTGGAGGATAGAAAAGTCGCCTGAGTACGTAGAGGTCATGTGGAGTAGAAAGTGGCTTCAGATGACAGAATTTAGCCTTAATTCCTGATATTCACACATCTCGTCTCTATTTGGCTTACAGCAACACAACTCCACCAAGGACTATTTGCTCTGCAACACTGATGTTTTATCTTCACAAATAACACAAGCCTGGAGGAGTTCTGCTCTGTGGTGGAGTTGCGAATGCTAAGTTTGCTTCTAATAGCCAAGACGTTTTCTGCTGTTTCCTGGACGTTTAACCAACAACAGCATTCCCCGTCGCGAGTCAAGATGGGCGAGTCCATGAATGTTAAGTGACAGTGTGACGTAGATCTGTCAGGCTTTTCTCAGTCGAGTGTTTTTTTAATCTATTTTCTATCAGAAGGTAGTATGAAATAAGGGTAGAAGACTATTTTCACATCCAGCCTGCATAATAAACTCAGAGTGACCAAATATAATCTGACATAAGTAAAAGATGGTTTCTCAGTGAATCTTCTCTAAAGTGTCTCATCAGACTGAAGATAGTTGATTTTCAGTAACAAAAATACACACGGTTCTAAAAAAGTAATATTTATTTTGGTCAGTTAAGTTTTGGTGAAAGTAATAATGGGTGAGAGAAAACCTAAAACAAAAATATTTTGTGGATTTTATCTTTTAAAAGAGCTTTTAAGTAGTTTTGTAATTGACCAGAGTCAGTATAACTACTGGTAGGTGAAGCCTGGACCTTACATGGACCTGTATCAATACGAATCATTGCCAGGTTTGCTGGCGCCGCTTTATGTGTCATTTTACTACCTTTAAATGTACTAAAAGTATAAAAATAATTTCAACTTTTCAAATCTATTTAAATAGATCAAATGAATCATTTCATTTACATTTTCACTCCCTTTTTATCTCCTTAAATAACAGCTGAACATCTGAATAATCTCATAGTTTTGACCATATTTATTTCAGCAATTACACAAAATAGACTCCGTTACAAAATGCAAAGATATCATTCATTAACAATAGACAACAGTGGTTACTGTATACTCTTCAAAATACAGTTTAGAAATTTGTCTTAATAAATTTACAAGAAAGAAAAAAATGGACATTTGGTAACACTTTACAATTAGGGTCTCTTTATTAATGTTACTTAGTGTGTTATTAAGCATTAATAAACAAAGGGGTCCCTTTATTAACGTTCCTGTTATTGTTATTGGGGGTGGGGGTGATGGGAGGGGGTCTGCTTAGTAATAAATTACATAGTATGGTTAAGAAGTTGTTAATACTTTGTTTAATCGTCGATTAATGCTTAATAATGCATTATAAAGTGTTACCAAACCTTTTAAGTAGGTGACCAACAGGAAGTAACTTCCTTTATAAATACTGACACGTGGCTCCTAGTCAAGTTGTAACAGATTTTTTTAAATTAAAATAACAAAATTACTGTTGCATATTGCGATATTTAACATTTGGCAATTATTCTATAGAAAAACACAAAATGTTGGTCTGGCATGTGAGTTGTTTTTGTTCATTTTACATATTTAGAGGGTAGGATTAATGATCTTGCCCATTAGAAGGATAGATTTATAATACCTATCTATAACAGAGAAAAAGAACGGCCTGTTGATGGACAGTTTCAGGGGGACTCCTTCTTCCGGTTGCTTGTCTTTAGCGTCTGCTCCTTCCTCTGACATCTCAAACAGCACACTGTTGATGGCCTGAGAAGAAGCAGAAAGACCTTTTAATGACACAAACACAGAGAGCTTCTGCTTTTAACATAACCTCAGGCCCGTTTGGTTAACCTTATTTATGGTGAAGGGTTTGATGTTGCTGAGCTGGCTGAACTCTGCCTGAGAGCCCAACAGCATGGCCTCAAGCTCAGGGTTCATGTTGGTCAGCAGGTCACGCAGGTCGTTCACAGACGACATAGAGAACTTAGGGAGTGACAGCTCCAGCAAACTGGGAGAACAAATGGATATTTGATTTGAAAATGCAAACTGTAACCCGAATCCCAAACCCGTATACATTAAACTGATCAGTTAACACAAAGCAGACAATAAAAGAAGGAAAGTCTAGTAAACCTCTTCCCTCACCCCTCTTGGAGGTTCTGGTGCCATCTGGTCATGAGATTTGTGAGCAGCTTAAACTCAACTTCACTGATGGGGACCCCTTCGTGAGGCAGGACCAGTAACATGTAGGAATGTTCACTCAGAGACAGTTTCACAACGACACACCTGTTCACCTTCAAAGTAAAGTGCCAACGATCAAAACAGATGACAGACATTCTTCTGCCCATCTTTGTTGTATTTGCAGCCATAATGCATTAAAACACCAATGGACAGACTATTCTGATCAGATAAGGTTCACCTTATCATTCAGGTGGTGGTAGAGGCCCGTGCGGGTCATCATTGATGTCATTACTGTGGTTGACTCATCAACATGGAACTCCTCCATGGTGGTCTTATCTGGTTGAAAAGCTGTCACCCAGTTGCCTAACAAAACATGATCACATCAACAAAAATGAGAACTGAGTCTTTTTGGGGAGTAAAGAATATGTAAAACAAACTCAACAGAAGCAGACCTTTGAGGCTAAAGGAGGAGATGAACAGAAGATTACTGGTTGAATTCAGATCTTTGATGACGTTCTTCATCTTTCCATCCGAAGTCTTCTCCACAAAGCTGTTAACCAGAGTCTCTGCCTCCTGAGGTTTTGAGAAGTCCACGCTTCGGACGAATGACTTGTCTGAGAAATCTTGTGTGCCCTGAATAAAGTTACCTGACAATTGAGCCTCCTTGCTAACGAAGGCCCATATCTGGGTGGCATGTTGAGACGTATTGTCCATCAGAAAGTTGATGCCCCGTAGGGTGCTGAGAACCTTTTGTCCATCCACCAAGGACACACAGTCCTCTCTGTCGGTGTCACTACTCAAGCCAAGAAGTATCTAGAACAAAATTACCAAACTGTTTATCTGATGCAATTTTACAAAAAGTAGTAGTAGATTATTTTAATTAACAAAAAACAAATTAAATTCTGCACCTGGTAAGATCTCGCTGTCTTCTTAGAGGCTCCCAGGTAAAAGGTGACGAGGGATCCAAAGGTGTTGACCGGAGACAGAAGAGTGTTGTTGTGTTTCCTGCTGAGAGCCTGGTACATCCTCAGGCCCAAAGGGTTCAGTAGACCAGCCAGGACCGCTGTCCTCTCTGTGACGTTCTGCCTCTGTGCATCCAGATGGGATGGGTCCCTCTTGTCTGGTGTCAAGATGTCTCCATCAAGAGGGGTCACGGGGAGCAGATCCAGAGGCTTAATAGTCGGGTTCTGCAGAGTCTCACAGCTGACATTCTCCCCAGCGAAAAGGTAAAAGGGGTGAACATAGACGCGGTTGGCTTGGCTTCCAGAGAAGATGCAGAACAGCAGCAGGACCAGAACGTTGACTGATTGTAGCATCTTAGCTTTAATTCTTCTCTGTGGGTGAAAACATGTACTTTTATTTTTAAAGGACTTTCTCAGATAATAAGCTGTAATAGGTTGGTGGTGGTGGTGGTGGTGGTGGTGGTGGTGGGGGGGGGGGGGGGGGGTTAAATTGTTGCCCCATCGGACCCCCCTCTAAGAAAATCCTCTGAGGGCACCACAACCTTACTGCTTACATCACATCTCTGGCTGACTCTAGTTTTGGTTTAGACGTCAGTGACCGACAGGTTTTGTATTTTTTGTGTTTTCTCAGTGAATGAAAGCAGACACAACCCTTCGCAACAGAGGTAATAAACACACATTTGTGTGTTATTAAGGTTGTGTGTATTTGGGTGTGTTTGACAGACTAGAACCCGCTAAACCAGCCTTCAGACTGGAGACAGCGTGTCCTCAAACATGTTTGCATAATCATCTGTAATGACAGTTAAATCAGTTATTAATAATGAGTAATGATTGATGAAGCTCTAAGCTGGAAATCACATATAGGCTATATAAAAGGTAAAATGGCCAAAGCCATTGCAGTATTATATAGCGTAAAGTTTTTACTAAATAGTGAAGGATTGTTATTACTATACAATGCACTGATTCTGCCATACTTAAATTATTGTGTAGAAATCTGGGGAACTGCATATAGAACGTATACACAACCTTTGTTTGTTTTGCAGAAAAGAGCAATGAGAATTATAGACAACACTCATAGTACAGCTCCATCTAACCCATTATTTATAAAATATAAAGTAATTAAATTTCATGGTTTGGTCAACTGGAGAATATTGCATATAATGTATAAAGCAAATAAAGGTACATTGCCAAAGAATATTCAGCATATATTTGAAAAGAGAGATAGCATTTATTCGTTGAAGGGATTTGAAATCTTCAAAAAACCTAGATTTAGAACAAGAATGAAGGAAATGAGCATATCTGTGAATGGTGTGAAGTTGTGGAATTGCCTGGACAGAGAATGGAAAGAGTCAAGAACTCTAAAAGTGTTCAGTCTACACATTAAATCACGTGTGTTGAGTGGATATGACAATGGACAATTGATGTGGACATAATAATTAACAAATGTGAACAGTTACGGGACTGAAAGAACTGGTGAGGGACTGCACAAATATAAATTGATATTTAAGTTTAAAAAGGGGGCAGAAATAATAAGATTTTTCTTCTATCTGCTCCCTTTCATTCAAATATATATTGTGTTTTCATGAATATTGTTTAGTATCTGTTGTGTTATTTTTTTTTGAATGAAATAAAGATAATAAAAAAAATACAACAGAGATTGTTCATGCATGTTTACAGCAGTCAGTTGTATGTCTCTTAGATCTTTAAAGATTGGTGTCTAAACAAGGACTTTATCCTTTGACTTGAACGTGGAGACATGTGGACTGCTGGACTCCTGTTGGAGGTGAACAAACAATGTCTTTGTCTGGATGCAGAATTTGGCCTTGGTCCCTGATCAACAAGTGATCACACAGCCCAGACTGGACTTAAACGAGGTTACGGTGAAAAACCAGACTCCTATTAATCCGTAGTAATTTTTTCATTAAAGCCTAATCATCTTTAGGAGATGTTTATATGCTGTTTTATAATTCAGGTCTAAATTTATCACATGAAAATTATTACAATGAAAAGGTTTTCGAAAAGCTGCAATTCATATTTTGTTTGAAGAATCTGATCTGATTATCATCAAACTTAAAAAAAACAAGATAAAGTCAAAATTTGATCTTACCTTGTGCATCTGCAGTTGTTTCTGAATGAGGTCCTGTGCCTTTGCTCCCTTGTTTAAACCCAGCAGCTGTGCTTGTACTCTGGTTACAGATTAACCAAAGGAGCATTGAGTCTGGGGCTCTGCTGCCATGACTCAGTCTGTTGTGTACTGATGGACCTCAGCAATAGATTACATACTAGATAGGCCTGACAGACAGGCAGGAGTAAAGCATTGGGTGAAAAAAGGTCAATTTCTATTGGTTAAAACCAACCTTGCTTGTGTTTTTCCAACATTTATCTCTGCCTCACTCCACAGTCACTGTTGTTGCTGAAGTGTTTGCAGGTGAAAGGGGCAGGAAGTGATTTGGATCAGTCCTGCTTGCGCATTACTTAGTGTAGGCGGTCACGTAAGCATTAAGTAAACAAGTCAACGTCAAGCTAAGTTGGCCTAGACATGCAAAAGTTTTCAAATCCCTCAAAATGCAACAAGAGCAAACACAACCCCATGTTTCAGAATACACATTTTTTCCCCCAAGAACCCATACCTGATATTTGTTAACGCCATTTTCTGCTCTTACATTCAAACTAATACTTTTTAAGGTCATTATGCCTTTCTTCCTGTGAAATGATGCAACCTCTTTAGTCACAACCCAAACAATGAATGACAAGAGAATTGACTGGTTGTAGAGCATCCAGCTTTTCACAGAATGCATTTTGCAACATATCAACAGCTGTTGGAAAGGGAACTGTTTTGCTTTTTGCACATAAATGAGTCATTTGAAATCAAAATGCAAATAAAAAGGAACAGATGGAGAGTTTCAAACAAGCTCAGACCAAGGCTTTGAAGTCACCTCAAAAGTCCGTGCCTTCCTGCTTGGATTTCCCAAAGGATAGGGTGTCCCTGATGATAAAAGTGTGAAAGTTCTTGTATAAAAGTACAGGAAATGATCTGGCAACAGTTCTTTAAGCTTTTAATCTCCTTTATTTGTCACTTTTGCTGTCCTCAAAGTTCAAATTGACCCCAGGTTTGCCTCAGTGGTGATGGAAAGTCACACAATCACAAGTCCAGGGTATAAATGAGCAGCTGTGTCTCACATTCACTCAGGAATAAAAACAGCTGCGCCTATCGGTTATTGCTTCCAAATATTCAAATATGCTAAAATCAGCAAACATCCGGACATGTTCTGTTATGAATAACCTTTTCAACAGTTCTGTTTGTGTCCAACAGTAAAACCTTTGTCCTGGGATGAAAGCTAACACGTGTCCATCTCGTGCTTTATCGAGCAGTATAAATAAAAAAGGATGTACTGTTAAGAGCTACATTCCTGGTTTTAATGTGAAAGAGCACACCTGATTCAACAGGGAAGGGCACAGTGGATTTACTCACAAGCAGGAGAAACATCACCGTGTTGGCTGGTTTATTAATTTATAGATATTCTCATCATGTACCGGTAGTTAACTCCTGGTAACAGGAAGAGGAGAGTCAATAAAGTAAAGAAAAAAAAAATCCATCTAGATCTTGTTCATATTTATAATTTGTAGGCAATGAAATTGATTTGGATTTTAAAAGATATAAACATTTTTAGAAGTTCAATTTCATAAATAAAAACACTGCAAACTTCAAAATTTGTTGTAGCTTTAATCAGATTTACTCTGACAAGTAGATTAAATGTGTATTTTTTTTTACCTCAAGCATCCAGAAGTTTGGAAAAAGTACATACGTAAATCACTGCAACCAAGTAGTGTTTTGTGTTTGAGTAAGACCTTACCAACCAACACATTCTCACACCCGAAGCATCGAAAAATGACGATGGGTGACCAAGCGTTTGTTTCTGAGACATTGGGAGCCCTGTGCCAGAGCGTGGTTTTCCAACTGCCACGGTAAAACGGAGATTTCACCGAATTGTGACCTTTGCCCTCTTGCTATTTAACCTTCCCCTCATCCCCATTAACCTTAACCCTAACCTTAGTCCCGCTCCAAAGCGGTTAACAGGAAGTTTAGAATGAGAAATTGGGTTAAGGTTAGGCTGGGGGTGGGGAGAAGGTTAAATTGCAAGAGGTTAGAGGTTACGTGTCGGTGAAATGTGCATTTTACTGCCAGTGTTGGAAAACAACGCTCTGGCACAGTGGGTCGCCTCCCGACGCGTCGAGAAAAAAAACGCTTGGTCACCCATGATCATTTTTCTACGCTTCGGGAGTGAGAATGTGTTGTAGCAACAGATGACCATTAGGGTCAAAAATCCCTGGAAGCGCCGCCTCCAGCAAAATGACAAGCACATCAGACTTCCTTTCATCACTGGCAGTGAGTTAAGAGGTAAATGTGTAAAACAACAATGTTTATAAATGGCTTAAGTTTTGTAACCGTTTGTTACAAACCAGTAAATGCATTTGGTCCTCATGGGCTCCCGTAGAAGGAAGCATGATGTCTAATATGGCGAGCCAGAGACTTGGACCCGCTCCCATGTATTTTAGACACAATTTTTACGTTTTAGTGACGTGACGTTCACAAAAGAATCAAATCTTTTAAACTGGTTTTTAAAGCGAACGATGAGAGCCGAGTACTTATGTGGAACCATTCATCTTGTTTTCCACGTCCTGAAAGCATCCAGATAGAGTATTAGGACTAGTACTTTCATCAAAAACCATAAGGGACCTGCTGCCATTTGCAGTTCACATACATGTCTTCTGTGGCTGGGACCAGGTTTATTGTTCTAATTGCTGTTATCGTTGAATAATTACCTGATGAAATAAAATAAATTATTAAAAATTATGTTAAAAACTAGATTTTGTGCTTTAGGCTTCAACGGGCTAAAAGACGTTTAAAGATTAAATTAAATGTTCAAATATTTCATAAAAATGGGAAATGAGCACACTGACCCCATTGTAATACTGAATTATCTTTTCTCTTCTGAGATTTTAATAAACCAGGTTTTTAAAAATATCCTTTTGAAGAGGAAAAAAAAACCTGAGTCACAAGCTAAAACTCTAAAGCACCAGGATCATTAACGGTTACACTTATATAAGTGGCAAAAGCTGAATATTCCAAACAGGAATCTTTAAAAAAATAAAAAATTAAAAACTTTATTCAGCAGATTTGCATAAAAAAAACAAGTTACACCGGAATGTTACATCACGTTTTTGTTGCTTTATTATCTGCCCGTTTCACAGAAAACTTCTCAGGAAAACCAACATAAGCAAATACCTTATAACACCCTAAATCTTCAGGTAAATAATCCCAGTTTATTATATTTAATCATCTGCCTGTTTCTCATGCACAGTGAATTGACGAGTAATAACTCACCTTGACATCGAGTGGCATCAGGAACTTTATGAACACCATAACAAGTCAACTGTTGAGTATATAAACTTCTGCACTCAGGAACTGAAACAGACTGGAAGAGGAACGGATCCATCATGTGGGCTCTCGTGTTCCTTTGCAGTGTGCTCACACACAGTGTGCAAGGTGATTCATTCCTTCTTTCAGAATTTTCAGACTTTTTTATTTTTAATGTAATTCTTGTGTCAGATGCAGATAATTAGACTTGCTGCAGTTTGGAAAATGACTTGTGATGTTTTCTTGAATCCACCAGCTCAGACAACATGGAAAATGGAAATTGCATCAGCTGGTGCAGGTAAAAATTTAATTAAAACCACAAAACTAAAATATAATAAGAAGGTGGGTTTATGAACTCATTGTTCCTGTTTTACAGTTTCCAACTGTGGAGGGTACCTGTATAGCAGCAGTGGCAATTTTATGAGCCCCAACTATCCAAACAACTACCCAAACAACTTAGACTGTGTGTGGTACATTAGACCAGGCAGTCAGATTATTCAGCTGGACTTCTATGATGTAAGGTAAGTGAATCCTCTTCCTACTCAGGGGGCGGGGTTACTTTTGATGCATCAGTTGAGCTTTTTGTTCATGATGAACTGCATCCTTTTCTTTTGTGCATGTCACAGCACTGAGTGTAGATATGATGATATCTACGTCTATGATGGCAGCAGCACTGGAGACAGGCTACTGGGGCGTTTCTGTAACACAAGCAGCACCATCTTACACTCCACCGGCTCTTATCTGACTGTACGCTTCAGGACCGATGGTAGCATCATAAATAAAGGATTCCATGCAAGCTACAGAGTAGTGTGTAGGTCACTGTGGTCTTTGATCATCTCACAGAATGACAAGTGTTTGTTTTTTAACAACAAGAATTCTTACCTGTTTTTGTGGAAGCTCGAGGATTGTGTAAATACAACTGTGGCTACCAGGTTGGGCAGTGCTCATGTTCTTCAGGCTGTGAAAACAGAGGAAACTGCTGCTCAGACTACCAAAGTAACTATAATAATTTGCTTTAATACTTTCTATAGTAACTAAATGAAATAATAAAATCCCATATTTCTTTTAAAGATGTGGAACACTGAAACAAAATTTTAAAATCTTATTTCTGATTATAACCGGTCACTCTGAGTTTTTTATGCAGGCTGAAGATGAAAATAGTCTCCTACACCTATCTCCTGCATTAGTTTCTGATAGAAAATAGACAGTGAAACTCTAGGATTTGAAAATCCTGACAGATCTACGTCACACTGTCACCTAACATTCATGGACTCACCCATCTTGACTCATGATGAGGAAGGCTCCAGGAAACAACAGAGAACGTCTCGACTAGGAGAAGCTAATTGTTACCGTTAGCAACTCCACCACACAGCAGAACTCCTCCACGCTTGTGTTATTTGTCAAAATTAAACATCTGCAATGCAGAGAAAATAGAATCAGTGATAGAGTTGCATTGCTGTTAGCCAATCCAAGGCGAGATGTCTAAATATCAGGAAAGAAGACTCCAAACCCTGCCGTCTGAAGCTGTGATGTGGCTTACTTCTAGTTCCTGGAAATCATGCACCAGAGCTTTCCCCTCCCTGATTCAACTAACAAGGCATCCTTTCTCACTAGAGTGTTCCGCACCTTTAAACATCTGCCATATAGACTATAGTCTATTTATGATGTAACATCCATTAAAAACAACATCAATACCAGTTCTTGTGCTTCCTTTGACAACTATGACTAGTGATCAGACAGTGTGGAGATGTTTAACATTTGTACTCTTTCCCCTGACCTGCAGCGTACTGTAGCTCAACCACTGACACGCCTGTAACAGGTATGAAAACTCTCAGGAAGTTAAAAAAAATAAGCAAAAATCAAACTGTTGGAACATTTAAATGCTATTTTGTTTTCCAGCTCAGCCATCATGTCGCCACAACTGTGGTTACAACATGGGGAGCTGCTCCTGTGCAAGCTCCTGTCAGTACTATGGCAACTGTTGTCATGACTACAATGGTAAGTATCCCATCCCTCAAAAGCACAACAGAGGTGCCAGGATACAGACTGGTGCAGCTGAAAAGTATGTTGGATGTCAGTAAAACGCACAGCTCAGACATGACCATGTAAGGAAAGTCCTCTGGAGGTATTTTGAGTGAAGATCTAAAAGTAATCCAATAACAGCAGTAAATTTAGCTAATTTCAGTTTGCAACAAACATTTTAAATGCATAGTTCCTGACTAATCTACTTATTTATGTTTCACATTACAACAAATCAGTAACAGGTGTTTTATTTCTATTTCTTTTAGATTACTGTCATCAAACCACTCATCGCCCGGTCGGACCCACCACAGGTAAAAAGCACCTGTGAGGATTACATGTAAAATAAAATAATAGATCATTTCAATGGGATGCAAATATTTGGGCAGCCTTGGTATTCTTCATGATTTTTCTGTATAAATTGTTGGTTGTTACGATAAAAAAAATTCTATTAATTATATCATGTAGGAGACGCACATAATAATATCTGAGAAGAGAAACGAAGTTTATAGGATTTACAGAAAGTGTGCAATTATTGTTTAAACAAAATTAGACATCCCACTGTAGTCTGAGTGGAGATTTTAACTTGAATGATTCCTATGATTTCCAGGTCAGATTAAACATTTTTCTTTTCTCCCTTATTTTCATTCAAATCCTAGAATCACATTTTCAGATGAATAAACTTGCTGTGGTTTGAAAAGGTGGGTTTATGAACTCATCGTTCCTGTTTTACAGTTTCCAACTGTGGAGGGTACCTGTATGGCAGCAGTGGCAATTTTATGAGCCCCAACTATCCAAACAACTACCCAAACAACTTAGACTGTGTGTGGTACATTAGACCAGGCAGTCAGATTATTCAGCTGGACTTCTATGATGTAAGGTAAGTGAATCTCTTCCTACTCAGGGGGCGGGGTTACTTTTGATGCATCAGTTGAGCTTTTTGTTCATGATGAACTGCATCTTTTTTGTTTTTGCACGTCACAGCACTGAGTGTGGATTTGATTACATATACGTCTATGATGGCAGCAGCACTGGAGACAGGCTACTGGGGCGTTTCTGTAACAGCACCATCTTACACTCCACCGGCTCTTATCTGACTGTACGCTTCACGACCGATGGCAGCGTCACAAAGACAGGATTCCGTGCAAGCTACAGAGTCGTGTGTAGGTCACTGTGGTCTTTGATCATCTCACAGAATGACAAGTGTTTGTTTTTTAACAACAAGAATTCTTACCTGTTTTTGTGGAAGCTCGAGGATTGTGTAAATACAACTGTGGCTACCAGGTGGGGCAGTGCTCATGTTCTTCAGGCTGTGAAAACAGAGGAAACTGCTGCTCAGACTACCAAAGTAACTATAATAATTTGCTTTAATACTTTTTATAGTAACTAAATGAAATAATAAAATCCCATATTTCTTTTAAAGATGTGGAACACTGAAACAAAATTTTAAAATCTTATTTCTGATTATAACCGGTCACTCTGAGTTTTTTATGCAGGCTGAAGATGAAAATAGTCTCCTACACCTATCTCCTGCATTAGTTTCTGATAGAAAATAGACAGTGAAACTCTAGGATTTGAAAATCCTGACAGATCTACGTCACACTGTCACCTAACATTCATGGACTCACCCATCTTGACTCATGACGAGGAAGGCTCCAGGAAACAACAGAGAACGTCTCGACTAGGAGAAGCTAATTGTTACCGTTAGCAACTCCACCACACAGCAGAACTCCTCCACGCTTGTGTTATTTGTCAAAATTAAACATCTGCAATGCAGAGAAAATAGAATCAGTGATAGAGTTGCATTGCTGTTAGCCAATCCAAGGCGAGATGTCTAAATTATCAGGAAAGAAGACTCCAAACCCTGCCGTCTGAAGCTGTGATGTGGCTTACTTCTAGTTCCTGGAAATCATGCACCAGAGCTTTCCCCTCCCTGATTCAACTTACAAGGCATTCTTTCTCACTAGAGTGTTCCGCACCTTTAAACATCTGCCATATAGACTATAGTCTATTTATGATGTAACATCCATTAAAAACAACATTAATACCAGTTCTTGTGCTTCCTTTGACAACTATGACTAGTGATCAGACAGTGTGGAGATGTTTAACATTTGTACTTATTCCCCTGACCTGCAGCGTACTGTAGCTCAACCACTGACACGCCTGTAACAGGTATGAAAACTCTCAGGAAGTTAAAACAAATAAGCAAAAATCAAACTGTTGGAACATTTATATGCTATTTTGTTTTCCAGCTCAGCCATCATGTCGCCACAACTGTGGTTACAACATGGGGAGCTGCTCCTGTGCAAGCTCCTGTCAGTACTATGGCAACTGTTGTCATGACTACAATGGTAAGTATCCCATCCCTCAAAAGCACAACAGAGGTGCCAGGATACAGACTGGTGCAGCTGAAAAGTATGTTGGATGTCAGTAAAACGCACAGCTCAGACATGACCATGTAAGAAAAGTCCTCTGGAGGTATTTTGAGTGAAGATCTAAAAGTAATCCAATAACAGCAGTAAATTTAGCAAATTTCAGTTTGCAACAAACATTTTAAATGCATAGTTCCTGACTAGTCTACTTATTTATGTTTCACATTACAACAAATCAGTAAAAGGTGTTTTATTTCTATTTCTTTTAGATTACTGTCATCAAACCACTCATCGCCCGGTCGGACCCACCACAGGTAAAAAGCACCTGTGAGGTTTACCTGTAAAATAAAATAATAGATCATTTCAATGGGATGCAAATATTTGGGCAGCCTTGGTATTCTTCATGATTTTTCTGTATAAATTGTTGGTTTTTACGATAAAAAAATTCTATTAATTATATCATGTAGGAGACGCACATAATAATATCTGAGAAGTGAAACGAAGTTTATAGGATTTACAGAAAGTGTGCAATTATTGTTTAAACAAAATTAGGCATCCCACTGTAGTCTGAGTGGAGATTTTAACTCGAATGATTCCTATGATTTCCAGGTCAGATTAAACATTTTTCTTTTCTCCCTTATTTTCATTCAAATCCTAGAATCACATTTTCAGATGAATAAACTTGCTGTGGTTTGAGAAGGTGGGTTTATGAACTCATCGTTCCTGTTTTACAGTTTCCAACTGTGGAGGGTACCTGTATGGCAGCAGTGGCAATTTTATGAGCCCCAACTATCCAAACAGCTACCCAAACAACTTAGACTGTGTGTGGTACATTAGACCAGGCAGTCAGATTATTCAGCTGGACTTCTATGATGTAAGGTAAGTGAATCTCTTCCTACTCAGGGGGCGGGGTTACTTTTGACGCATCAGTTGAGCTTTTTGTTCATGATGAACTGCATCTTTTTTGTTTTTGCACGTCACAGCACTGAGTGTGGATTTGATTACATATACGTCTATGATGGCAGCAGCACTGGAGACAGGCTACTGGGGCGTTTCTGTAACAGCACCATCTTACACTCCACCGGCTCTTATCTGACTGTACGCTTCACGACCGATGGCAGCATCACAAAGACAGGATTCCGTGCAAGCTACAGAGTCGTGTGTAGGTCACTGTGGTCTTTGATCATCTCACAGAATGACAAGTGTTTGTTTTTTAACAACAAGAATTCTTACCTGTTTTTGTGGAAGCTCGAGGATTGTGTAAATACAACTGTGGCTACCAGGTGGGGCAGTGCTCATGTTCTTCAGGCTGTGAAAACAGAGGAAACTGCTGCTCAGACTACCAAAGTAACTATAATCATTTGCTTTAATACTTTTTATAGTAACTAAATGAAATAATAAAATCCCATATTTCTTTTAAAGATGTGGAACACTGAAACAAAATTTTAAAATCTTATTTCTGATTATAACCGGTCACTCTGAGTTTTTTATGCAGGCTGAAGATGAAAATAGTCTCCTACACCTATCTCCTGCATTAGTTTCTGATAGAAAATAGACAGTGAAACTCTAGGATTTGAAAATTCTGACAGATCTACGTCACACTGTCACCTAACATTCATGGACTCACCCATCTTGACTCATGACGAGGAAGGCTCCAGGAAACAACAGAGAACGTCTCGACTAGGAGAAGCTAATTGTTACCGTTAGCAACTCCACCACACAGCAGAACTCCTCCACGCTTGTGTTATTTGTCAAAATTAAACATCTGCAATGCAGAGAAAATAGAATCAGTGATAGAGTTGCATTGCTGTTAGCCAATCCAAGGCGAGATGTCTAAATATCAGGAAAGAAGACTCCAAACCCTGCCGTCTGAAGCTGTGATGTGGCTTACTTCTAGTTCCTGGAAATCATGCACCAGAGCTTTCCCCTCCCTGATTCAACTTACAAGGCATTCTTTCTCACTAGAGTGTTCCGCCCCTTTAAACATCTGCCATATAGACTATAGTCTATTTATGATGTAACATCCATTAAAAACAACATTAATACCAGTTCTTGTGCTTCCTTTGACAACTATGACTAGTGATCAGACAGTGTGGAGATGTTTAACATTTGTACTCTTTCCCCTGACCTGCAGCGTACTGTAGCTCAACCACTGACACGCCTGTAACAGGTATGAAAACTCTCAGGAAGTTAAAACAAATAAGCAAAAATCAAACTGTTGGAACATTTAAATGCTATTTTGTTTTCCAGCTCAGCCATCATGTCGCCACAACTGTGGTTACAACATGGGGAGCTGCTCCTGTGCAAGCTCCTGTCAGTACTATGGCAACTGTTGTCATGACTACAATGGTAAGTATCCCATCCCTCAAAAGCACAACAGAGGTGCCAGGATCCAGACTGGTGCAGCTGAATGTTGGATGTCAGTAAAACGCACAGCTCAGACATGACCATGTAAGGAAAGTCCTCTGGAGGTATTTTGAGTGAAGATCTAAAAGTAATCCAATAACAGCAGTAAATTTAGCAAATTTCAGTTTGCAACAAACATTTTAAATGCATAGTTCCTGACTAGTCCACTTATTTATGTTTCACATTACAACAAATCAATAACAGGTGTTTTATTTCTATTTCTTTTAGATTACTGTCATCAAACCACTCATCGCCCGGTCGGACCCACCACAGGTAAAAAGCACCTGTGAGGTTTACCTGTAAAATAAAATAATAGATCATTTCAATGGGATGCAAATATTTGGGCAGCCTTGGTATTCTTCATGATTTTTCTGTATAAATTGTTGGTTGTTACGATAAAAAAATTCTATTAATTATATCATGTAGGAGACGCACATAATAATATCTGAGAAGTGAAACGAAGTTTATAGGATTTACAGAAAGTGTGCAATTTTTGTTTAAACAAAATTAGGCATCCCACTGTAGACTGAGTGGAGATTTTAACTCGAATGATTCCTATGATTTCCAGGTCAGATTAAACATTTTTCTTTTCTCCCTTATTTTCATTCAAATCCTAGAATCACATTTTCAGATGAATAAACTTGCTGTGGTTTGAGAAGGTGAGTTTATGAACTCATCGTTCCTGTTTTACAGTTTCCAACTGTGGAGGGTACCTGTATGGCAGCAGTGGCAATTTTATGAGCCCCAACTATCCAAACAGCTACCCAAACAACTTAGACTGTGTGTGGTACATTAGACCAGGCAGTCAGATTATTCAGCTGGACTTCTATGATGTAAGGTAAGTGAATCTCTTCCTACTCAGGGGGCGGGGTTACTTTTGATGCATCAGTTGAGCTTTTTGTTCATGATGAACTGCATCTTTTTTGTTTTTGCACGTCACAGCACTGAGTGTGGATTTGATTACATATACGTCTATGATGGCAGCAGCACTGGAGACAGGCTACTGGGGCGTTTCTGTAACAGCACCATCTTACACTCCACCGGCTCTTATCTGACTGTACGCTTCACGACCGATGGCAGCGTCACAAAGACAGGATTCCGTGCAAGCTACAGAGTCGTGTGTAGGTCACTGTGGTCTTTGATCATCTCACAGAATGACAAGTGTTTGTTTTTTAACAACAAGAATTCTTACCTGTTTTTGTGGAAGCTCGAGGATTGTGTAAATACAACTGTGGCTACCAGGTGGGGCAGTGCTCATGTTCTTCAGGCTGTGAAAACAGAGGAAACTGCTGCTCAGACTACCAAAGTAACTATAATCATTTGCTTTAATACTTTTTATAGTAACTTAATGAAATATATATATATATATATATATATATATATATATATATATATAATATAATATAATATAGTGAAATTGCTGGAGTGAAAATAGTTTACATATATATAAAGCATCTGTCATATATGGGCTGCATGGCGGCGCAGTTGTTAGCACTGTTGCCTCGCAGCACGAAGGTCGCAGGTTTGAAACTCGGCTACGGCCTTTCTGGGTGGAGTTGCGTGTTCTCCCCATGCATGCGTGGGTTTCCTCCGGGTACTCCGGTTTCCCCCGCAGATCACAACATGCCCTATAGGTTATAAATTGTAAGTCGCTTTGGATAAAAGTGTCTGCCAAATAAATAAACATAAACATACATTATTGTCCATTTATAATGTAATACATATTACAAATATTCATTCCTGTAATTGTGCTTGAAAATATAATTTAAATGTTCTTGTTTTTGTCATGCAGCTTACTGTGGAGGAAACACAACAGGTATTAAAACTTCACAAAACAATAAAAGATTTGAGTAGAAACATAAGATTGATTGTGCAGCAGCCACAACGCCCTCAGGTGAGATTTCATTGTAGAAAATGATCACGGCACTATCATAGTTAACATCTCACCTCCTGTAACAGTGCCATGTGGAGGCTCTTTGTTTGGCTCTGGCAACTTCTCGAGTCCCAACCACCCCAGTTACTACTACGACAATGCCTACTGTGTTTGGCAGCTCAGAACCACAGATGACCAAAGAATCTTCCTGTCGTTCACATATGTACAGTGAGTTAAAAGTGTAAATAAATAAAATAAACTTGCTTTCTACTGAAATTATTTCAGAATCACAGTGTTTATTAGATGGCATGTGTGGCTCTTTGACAATTAGACTGGAGAACTGCTGCTACTGTGACTACATTGCAATCTACGACGGGCCGTCTGTTTCTTCCCCACTTTTGGGGAAAGTGTGCGACGACAACAGAAGCGTGTTCTACTCTTCATCCAACTACATGACTGTGGTCTTCAGGACGGATGGTTCAGTGGTGGGCCGAGGGTTCAAGGCTGACTTCATGAGCAGCTTACAAACAAGCTCAGGTACAGCTACTAATATTTGGTTATTTACTTTGGATTAATACTGTATGTGTTGGTAAATAAAGTTGTTAGTAAGCTTGAAGAGCAAGACACCCCCTACCAGAGTCTTATTCCACTCCCACTTCCTGTTTGAAAACTGCAACAATGCTGTTGCTTGGCAGACCGAGACAGAGGAGCCTCTAATAAATACACACACATACAGGCTCACAACGACACTGTGACATCATAATGTACCAGCTAGCATCATAGTGTACCTCTTAACCAATAGTGATGGCAGATTTAAAGTTCTTACCTGAAGACACTGACAGTTTTACGCACATTACTTACATTTTAACTAAGATGCACTAAAGTGCCTACACGTGTCTTCAGCATGACTAGACACTCATTTATATAATTTATCAGCAAAAAAAAAAGTTGATTTTGGGAGTGACTTGCTCTTTAAGTTGAACTTAAGTCGCACTCAAGCATGGATCAAAATGTTGTAATTGTGTTTTTACACATTTAAAAGTGTGGAAATCTGCAAAAAAAAAAAAAAAAAAAAAAAAACTATTTTAAAATTATTATGTCTGGTTGAAATTGCCCACTGTGAGTTTTTCTTTTGTGGAGATGAAACATCAGCGTTGCAAGTCAGTGGTAGAGTTGCATTGCTGTAATCCAATCAGAGGTGAGATGTGCAAATAGCAGGAAATAAGACTCCAAATCCTGTTGTGCCACTCTCTGGGGCAGCAGACTTGTCTGTGTTGAGTCAAGTGTTTCTGGGCATTTTTTGCCCTGAGTACAGCTTGCAAGGCATTCATTCCTACCAGGGATCACTGCAAAGGAATTGATTAAACAGGTGAACCACACTTTTAATCAAAAAATACAAATAAAAATAGAAAGAAAGCTGGTGTGATTAATCAACTTCCTCCCATCAGGTCGAGTGGACTGCTCTTTGGACAACATGAACATTGTGATCGAGAAGTCCTACCTGAACTCTCTGGGTTACGACGGTCACAGTTTGTTCCTATATGATCCACACTGCAGACCACAGGTTTCCATGTACCAGGTGGTCTTCAGTTTCCCCCTTAACACTTGTGGCAACATCAGACGGGTAGATATGTCACCATCCTCTGGAAATCATTACCCAGAACCCATTTTCCACATTTGTGTTCAATTCTAATTTTTTTCGACCTCTTTTGCTTTGAGCAGTCTGTAGGCGACAGAATTTTGTACACCAACTCCATCAGCGCCTACACCTCCACACAAGGCCAAATAACACGCCAATCCCACCTCAGGATGAACGTCACCTGCCTGATGGAACCGGACTCTACGTCCCAGATTGCATTTATTGTTGATCATGGGACTAACAGCAGCATTACTGGATCGGGCAGATACAACACCAGCATGGCTTTCTACACCTCTAGCAGCTTCTATGAAAAGGTATGTTTGGTAAGAAAATTGGTAACTGGAGAAGATAATGTCCTTATTTTATTTTCACACACAGGTGACTCAGGTACCTTACAAAGTGTCACTCAACCAGTACCTGTACGTGCAAGTGGGTCTTAGATGGAATGACAGCAATCTTATCCTCTTCCTTGACACGTGTGTGGCCTCCCCAACGCCTTTTGATTTCCACACTAGAGTGTACTATTTGGTCCGTGACGGGTAAGATGAATGGATGTCTTTGCTCAAGAAAATAACTGACTTCTTTTATGTGTTCCTAACTAAAATGACTCACCTGCAGATGTCCTGTTGATGACACCTACCACCCAATCACTACTGCCCAGTCTGTGGCCCGGTTCTCTTTTAGAGCCTTCCAATTCCTACGAGCCTCAGAAGCAGTGTACATCCAGTGCAAGGTCGTGATATGCCCTGCCTCAGACAGCAACTCCCGCTGCCGCCGTGGCTGCAGCAGGCGAGCTGCCAGAGGGCTGGAGTCAGAACACGAGAGCCAAACTCTGGTCGTGGGTCCCATTCAACTCAATGGTCAGAGTGCACAAGTCTAGTAACTTAAAAGAAACAAACATCCAAAGAAAACAATAAAAACCCTGTTTTTGTTTAATTCTCCTTTGCAGACTCTGAGAAGAAAAAGGAAGAGCCTGAAAATCAAAACAAGGCTTAACTTGACATTGCAATGACCTTGTCCATTTACCTTTCTCCTCTTTTCATTAAGATTCCTAAACATAGTCACTTTTTCTTTATCACTGACTTACCTGATTAAATGCTTCATCAAAGACAATCTGTCTCTGTGCCTCATCATGTCAAACTCACAACCTACTGGCTGATGTAAGGAAATATTGATATGGCAATATATTGCAATATTTTTTCCTGTGATATATCGATATCCAAAAGCCATGTATCAAAGTTTTGGAAGAATTTACATGCAAACATTTGTGTATTTTCTTTTCTTTTGGTGCAATTCAAAGGCCGACCGCTAGTTGGCAGCAGTGTGCAATAGGTTTTGTTTCCACCACTGAAATGTAAAATCCCTTATTATGGTTTAGATACCTCATGTTGAACCTAATCATATCATTTAGACTGTTAAACTGAATTTTCCTACAATAATTTCAGTCCAAAAAAATCATCTTGTATCGCAATTTATCATGATAAATCGTATCGATCGACTCCCCTGTATCGTATTGCCAGAATTTGACCAATACACATCCCTACTGACTAATTGTGTCGTTGAATCTAAAAACATCTTGAAATTAAAAAAGAGGCAAAGTGCAGCTTGGTTAGAAAACACTTTACTTATAAATTAGTAATCAATCTCACAATAAAATGATTTGCGATCTCAGCTGAGAGAGATTGAGATCCCCAAAAGGCCTAAACATTCACCTTATGAATCTACACCACACTGAAAACATAAGGCAGCCTTTACTGAAGGTCCTGTGTTTGGCAAGAACACAAGGTGCTCCCAAGACAGTAACTATGTTCTCTACACCAAACGGCACCCAGAGACAATAGACAACCTCTCTAGCAGTCTTACTGCAACACTGTTTTACATCTTTTTGACACTGAACATCTAGAAAAACCAGCCAGATTACAATAACCAGTAAATACTGCAAATAAAAAGCACTGGGATTCATTTAATCATACAAAAATCTCAGTGAGGTGTTACAAAGACGAAAACATGGCAACCTTGGTGCTACGTGGCAATCATTAAAAGTCTTCACACAAGACACAAGACTTGGCGATTCTGTCCTAAACACTGGATATTAACATGACTTCATACAATATGGAAAGATCTGAAGAGGACACGAGGCAGTTAAAAAGACAAAAGCCTTTAAACATGGTCGATGATAAGAGTCTTGTAATGGTGGTGCACTGTATGAAGGAACAGGATGAAGTAGATTGTTGGCCATGGAGACACAGTCTGGCTAGGTTTAACTGCTTATGTCATCTTTAGAGACGAGCTGGCAGTGACTCAGACGTTTCTTAGCAGCATTTATGAAGCAGAGATTTGGCCAAGGAATAAAAAATAAATGATGGCTACAATGATAACACAAAGACACCCTAATGGTTCTAGAAATCTAGTGTATAAAGAATGTTCTGAATGTTTAAAATAACAGTCTTTCTCAAACCTGGGCACACAGGAAAGTGACATGTCAGGCACTGCAACGAATGTCATAATGCATCAAGAACTGAAATAATTCAACATGGCTGAATTAAGACCACCCAAGCTGACAGCAGATTTACCTTCAGGAGTGTTGAGAGTTTACTTTTGTGCTGTCAAACGTTGAAAAACAAAACGTGTAATTTTTCTAAAGGGGACATTGTTTATTGCCAAATTAGTACAAGCCATGGTAACTTTGGTGAGCACCATGTTGCACAAACATCATCACATATTCTCCATGATGTGATCGAGTGTTTAGTACCGTTTAATCAATGACAATGTTGGACAGAATATGTTGTTTGTGGGTTAAACTTCACTTGAGGAAAAATACTTTTTGGTTTTGTTTTCCTTTGATGACAGCCCCTTAAATAAATTCACAACCTGTCAAAAAAAAAACACTGATCGTTCCTTTTATAACACACTGGAATGGACACCTTTGGTTATACAAATAATAACCATCTGACTGTTTTCTGTGCAATAATTTTTAAAGTCTAGGCTACATGAAGGCCATGTGAAAGATCAAATAAATAAAGTTATTATGCAATAAAACAAAAGCTGTTGGTTAAAAAGTTCTTCCAGTCTTCATTTACTTATGCTGGCCACGTGCAAAGTGACAGGCAAAGTCGTACTTGCTCTTGCACTTGTGGCCACAGATGTTGCACTGGAATGGGTTCTCATAGCCGTGGCATCCCATGTGGATGGTGAAGAGGATGTTGTCTGGGAAGTAGATGTCACAGTGTTGGCAGTGATGGAGGATGTGGGGGTCCTGAAGTGGGGCGGACTGACCTGGGACCGGTGTGCTGGGCTGGCTGTTGGAGATACTGGGAGTGCTGATGCGGCCGCTGTTTTCACTACACGGTCCGCCTCCCGGACTGCAGTTACTGTGTAGAGGTGCCCGGGGCTCGGGGGTGATTGGGGAAGAAGTGTGGGTCATGCTGGCTGGGACAGCCACGGGAGCTGTGGCGGGGTGCGGCTGCTGGATGAGGAAGGGCTTTTCGTCAACAACAGACTCCGCTCCAGGAGACATGGGAGTTTGAGTCTGGGCTTGAGAATCGGATGGGAGGCTGGCCAACTGGCCTGCTAGGGTGGACAGTTGGTTCAGTGGATTATCCATAACCATGTCATGGTGATTTGCAGAGAGCCCATCCTCAACAGCTCTGCTCTGATTATCGTAGTTTTCCTGACGCAAGTGTGGCAGCTCGTGTGAGAAGTCATTTATGTTATCAGCCTTGTGCACCACCATTGAAGGGGGGCTGAAGTTGATAAGAAGCCGTCGACCGTAGCCCAGTGAGCTGGCTTTTTTCTGTAAAACACTCAGCATCTTTTTATGAGCCAGGGACCGAGCACCTTTCATCGGCAGGAGTTTGTGACGTCTACGTCGATGGTGCGACAAGTTGCTGCGATCGCTACAGCGGAAAGAGCACAGCTCACATTTGTAAGGCTTCTCACCTGTGTGTGACCTCATGTGAGCCTCCAGGTGGCGCTCATACGCTGAGGCAAATGGACACAGGTGGCAGCGGTGAGGTTTTTCTCCTGTTTGTTACAGAAAAGGAGGCCAAACATGTCAATACTTCTCAGTAAGTTAAATCTCCATTGCAGCAATATATTGTGCATTTAGTCACCTGTGTGAATTCGGATGTGCTCTATGAGCCGTGCTGTGCCTCTGGTAGCATAGTTGCAGTAGCGACACTTGAGCTTGCCATCATAGGTCCTCTCAAACCCATCCACTAAGATCCCTGAGCTGTCCTCCAATGACATGTCCACTGGGGGGTGATCCAGGCCATTCTGGCTGCAGTCTGTTGACACAATTTATTGCACAGCAACAACATGGTAGTTAAATATAATGCAAATTCTTGGAATAAAGCACTTAAGAATACTGAGGCGCGTTTTGTCCATCCGTGGCTTTAGACAGCTGTCAAAGCGGCACTTTTCACCTCAAACAGGGCACCCAATCAGATTAAAACAATCAATGATTCCAAAAGTTTCCAGTCAGAATAAAAGGAAATCTGAGGAAAAAAAGAGCGTGTAGATTGCTGCATATGATGTTTAACTGGACTTTGCAGCATAAAATGGCTTCTTTAAAAAAACAATCACAAATAAATATACCATAAATAAATAAAAGATAGATAAAAACCCAGTCTTCCGTGACCTTAGAAGCTTGACAGGACACAATGGTGCCTTGTTTTTACAATATATGTTTTTTTAATAATGCTTTATGCGCTTTTCTGTACATTACTCTTCATTTTCTGTTTAAATTTAACTTGAAGGAGTGAATCACTTATAGAGACATGCTGAAAAGTAATTTTGCTATTAGAAAAGATTTAGAAAAATACTATCACCTTATCTTTCTCTTTGATAAAATAAAAATAAACATGGAACTGAACACTTCTAGCCATCTAAAGTTACAAACATAAATGAACAAGGTTCAACCCTTCCACTCTGAAAGAGAACACCCCTATAGAAACTTTTGTAAACACACAGTTTACAGTAGCAGATGACAAACAGCTGATCACCTGCTGGCAGCTCATCCACCTCCTTTACACCGCTGACGGAGCCAGATATCATGTTGACATGTTGAGTCTGCTGGCTTAGATACTCCTGAAAATCCTTCACAAAGTCTAGTGTGTCCGGCTTGTCATCCCCCATCGGAAGAAAGTAACAGCGGTGTACACTAAAAATACAAAACATTTTACAATAGTTAACGTACATTTTATAGAAATTTGCTTTGTAAACATACATGTTTACGTAGGCTGATTCTCACAAACAGACTAAGTCAAACAACATAATCATAACCAAGCAGATAAAGAAAATCAACAGTTATCTGATGTGTAAAGCTTCGTACTAACCTTCAAAATGATAAATAAAAACAGCTTTAATTGGCTTGAAACGCCTTTAGTGGTAAGCCAGACACAAAGACAGGATAACAATGATTGACATGCAGGAAATCGGTGTGATCCAATGCCTGGTCGGTGGCTCCTACACGCAGCTCCTCATCATCGTCATGTTTGTTGCCAAAGCTACATACGCTACGTTAGCCAAGAGACAGCTAACGTTAGCTACCTCGGGAAAAAGCATCTTTAGCAACGACAAATGTCGTCCGATACATTACTATTTACGTTTGAGTAAATAATCAAGTGTTCTGCGACAGCTAAACTTCAGAGACCCCTTTCCAAATTTCATACTAATGTGTACGAGGAAAAAAAAGTCTTGCTAAATAAAAACAATTAACCAGTCAATAGGGTTAAAGTTCACTTTGAGCGCGCTGATGAAAACTGTCCGGCAAAAACAAAACGTCCCCCGAGGAATGGTTCCTACCAGTAACAGTAGCATAGACTGTACATACATAGACTGAACAGTAGTGGCATCTCCGGCAAAATAAAATAAAATATTTAGTAACACATTTTCAAGCCCCAGGGCTTCTAACTTTTACACGTTTGGAGTGAAATTAGGTTGGGCAAAATGGCACAGTCTTATATAAACTTATTTCTTTTGGTGTGTGTGTGTGTGTGCGTGTGTGCGTGTGCGTGTGTGCACACGAGCGAATTGTGAACTGGCATGATTTTGCACTACTTAGATGTAGCCACCTTACGCCGACAAAAATGTAACTAAGTAACCTTTACTTTGAGTACATTTTGTTATACTTTTTACTTTTACTCGAGTAAAAATTTAGGCAAGTACTTTTACTCTTACTTGAGTAAAAATGGTCAAAGTATTGGTACTCGTACTTAAGTAGGACATTTTAGTACTCTTTCCACTTCTGCCACTAGCAGAGCAGATGAACGGTTGAATTATTCATGAATGAGCTTTTCTAAATAAATCTAGAGAAAATCTGATTTACTTGCCTTGAGCTATGCATTTGCCAAAACACCTTTGCTGATGTTTTAGTTAATTTAAAAGAAAACGAACCCGTGATTTTTAGAGGCGACACCGAAAACAAGCAACGTTTTGGTTTGTATATTTCTGAACACACAGGGGCAGCAAAGCATCCTATTTAAACAGAATTGACCTAAAACCTGATATTTCTAACAAAACATTTAAGATATCTTTCTATAACTAAACCAAACCCACCTGCAGTTTTAACCACTCAAGGTAAACAACTAGCTGGGTTAAAGAAATTAAGATTCTGGCCCAAATATAAAAACGATTACTACAACAATCATCATAATTGGACTAAAATGTGTGTTTATGTAGCTTAAACCCTTCAGAGCACATTTTAACTAATTATCAGTAACAAGACTGATGTAAATTCTAAACCTGCAGAATATCTGAAATTATCTTCTTTGTTTGCCCTCCAGCTAGAAGAGAATCCAAGGAACAAATCAAATCACTTTTAGTGTCACGTCACATGTGCAGGTACACTGGCACAGTACATGCGAGTGAAATTCTTGTGTGCAAGCTTCACAGCAACAGAGTTGTGCAAAAATACAACGTAAAAACAAGCAAAATATAAAAAAAGGCTAATCTAAGTAATAATATGTATAGTATGTAAGGAATATACATTACTGAATGTGTGTACTAAGTGTGTTTTCCTACGTGTGTGCGCGTGTGAGTGTGAGTGTGTGTATAGTGTGTATATACCGTCATGTTCTGTGATAAGTATTTAACCCAGGACATGCAGAATACACGGAAGCCAGTTGTAAGAATAATAATGATTTATTAAGAAATGATGATTCCAGGGGTAACTGGAAATCAGCGAATGAATGAACGGGAGCAGCGTCTGAGGGGAAGAGGAGCAGATATGAGTTCTTGATAAGGTAATATGGTAGAGGATGAGCTTGGTAGGAGGACTTACAGACGAAGCGTGGTGAAGTTTGTTCGGGGAGGGGTGAGCTGGGAGAGCGAGCGGATATCCAGGGTTGAGGTAGAACGATGGGGTTCCAACCGAAGGTGATGAGAGAGAGAGAGCAGGTTTGTAAGGAGCAAGTCGAGCCGTTGGGAGGACAGGGAGTCGAGAGGTGAATCCAGAGGCTGTATGGTCGGGCAGTTGTATATCCAAAGAGTCAAGCTGGGATGCGGTGTATGGAGAGGGATGACTGAGCCTACAGCACAAGGAAAAAACAGGAACAAAGTCTAAGCACAAAAATCGTAGCAAAACAAAGTTTCAAAATCTAGAGTTCATAGAATCACTGTGGCTGGGATTTCTACCAGTAAGGCATAATCATCCAGCAGTTTAGCAGTGTCCTCCGTCGTCCTTATGAAGGCCACCTGCTGATCAGCTGATTGACCACAGCTGCTGCTCTCTCTCCTGAAAACAGAGAAGCTCCCAAAAACAGGTGACGTAATGGTGTGTGTAGAGTGCTCACCTCCCAGCTCACAACATATACATGTTTTACAGATGAATAAAGTAAACAATAAAATAAGAGATATAAAATATACAGAGGTTGGTATGTGCAAAACAGTGGCATTGATGTACAGTATGGAGTGTGTAATGTTGGAGTTTCAGTAGTGAGGGTGAGGTGTCTGTGATGTGTTCAGCAGTCTGATGGCCTGATGGAAAAAGCTGTCTGTCAGTCTGCTGGTTCTGGACCGGATGCTGCAGAACCTCCTTCCTGATGGAAGTAGTCTGAACAGTTTATGGCTGGGGTGACTTGAGTCCTTGATGATCCTCCCCGCTTTCCTCAGGCACCGCTTCCTGTAGATGTCCTGGAAGGAGGGAAGCTCACCTCCAATTATCCTTTCAGCACACCGCACTACTCTCTGGAGAGCTTTGCGGTTGTAAGCGGTGCTGTTGCCATACCAGGTGGTGATGCATCCAGTGAGGATGCTCTCAATGGCACAGCGATAGAATGTCCTGAGGATGCGGCGGCTCATGCCAAATCTTTTCAGTCTCCTGAGAAAGAAGAGGCTCTGCTGTGCCTTCTTCACTGTATTGTTCGTGTGCACTGATCATGTAAGATCCTCAGCCAGATGAACACCAAGGACACGGAAGCTGCTCACCCTCTCCACAGCGTCGCCGTTGATGGTAATGGGGGTGTGTATTCCTCTGCAACTCCTTTGTCTTTGTGACGTTGAGGGTGAGACGGTTGTCTTGACACCAGTGGGTCAGGGCGCTGATCTCCTCCCTGTAGGCCGTCTCATCATCGTTGGTGATGAGACCCACCACTGTGGTGTCGTCCACAAACTTCACAATGATGTTGGAGGTTCTAGTGGCCGTGCAGCACAGCAGAGATGCCAGAGGTTTGGCCTTTGCATGATGAAGTCTAGAACTTGAGGGTACATGCATGACATGAGTGCCATTGGTTTTTATTTTTGTTTGCTTTTGACTGTGTCGTCAGAAATCTGACTAACAGACTGACGTTTTTGCAACTAAACACCAATTGTCATGGTTTTTCTTACATGCACGCTGAGATCTGATCAAGTATGTATTTTTGACAAACATATTTCACAAATCAGGATGACATAACGCCTTCAGCGTGAGCTATGCTTTCTAACAACGTATAATTTTGTTGCTTGCATAAATGCCACTGCTTCCTGACCCATTCCCACCGGCTGCATGCAGTCCTCCAAGGGTTAAATTGCCGCTAATCCCTTCTTAGTGTTTTCTCTTCTTTCATTAGAGGAACAGCGGAGCGGAGTATTGCTGTCAATATTCTAAGACTTATACATAGTAAGGAATCGCTCGTGATCACATAAAATCTGATTTAGGTGAGAAATGTTAACCCTTTGAGTATTGTGCTAGCTTTATAAACTGTCTGCACTGCATGTTTGTTTTTAATGAGTTTAAATGTGTTTTGCAGACCCGCTGACCAGCCACATGGAGATGGTGACCAAGATCGTTGTTCCCACCGTGTGCACACTCTGTATTCTGCTCAGCGCCATCTTCCTTCTGTTCCTGCTGAGAAGAAGAAACTAGAAAGTGTGTGTGTGTGTGTGTTTACAATCATAGTTTGTACAAAATCACATGGATGCAGTGGAAGTGCAACATTTCTTTAATTTTATTTGTGAAAGGATGACTAAATTTCTGAAGTGAATTTAAACCACTAATCTGATGACTTTACAGTGTTTTGTTGTTTTAGTTCAGCTGCAACATGCAAAATGACCTTTTCTGCATTTATTTTGTTTAAATGTGGAGTACTGTTATTGCAACCATGTAATCTACAGTCTAAATTAAACAAAGTTTAGCTTTCTAAATGAATAATGTGTTAAATGAATTAGAAAATAAACTTCATCACCTACAAAACAGAAACTCTTCACTGAAAACACAAACACACATAGATCCAGCTGTGGTCGCTCCAGGTTCGTTGGAATGATTTCAGTCCATCTGGATTGAACTGTTAATATTTCAAACAATGTTCAATACTATTAAGAATATTAAACACAAACATCTACTTTGTTGTTCAGTTATTTTGTGCTTTGTAAATTCATACAAAGCTGACGAAGCTGCAGCACACCACTGTGGAAAAACAGCCGGCTCCTCCATGTCCCCGTTGATCGCTTCACTTGGGTAATCTAAAACTGAGAAGATTAAAGTCAGATGTGCTTCACTGGTTCAGTTACTACTAGTCTTCTTTTATTTGAATATTTAAAAAAAAAACCCACCTGTTTTAAAGGTGACGTGAGCCACCAGTGGTCTGTTACTGAGCTGTAAGGACGTCCGAACCTCACGAGGACCTGGACCGCTGGACACTTCAACCCCCCACATCATTGGGTGTTCGCTGTAGAAACGATGCATTAACACAAATACAAGCTAAGGACAATTGGCTTATTTGAGCAAAAAGACACAAAAGCAAAAGTATTTAGTTTGTGAATAAGATTAACCTTCAATTAAAAAAAGTGCTCTGCTTCATTCTTTTTCTCAACAAAAATAATGTCTAAAGTTTCCATCTACTTAAGAAAATAAGATTTTTATGTAAATTTAAACTTCAGCATAAACTTTTTCCACTTTCTTTCCATTTGAAAAATTTCTGACTTTTTCCCAAATGAGCTTCATAAACTACATCACTGTCAGGTATTTCCTTATGTTTTCACATTTTACATATTTTATGTATTTAGATATACAAGTTTAAATAGTCATCTTTCACATCGATCAGTGTTTGTAGAGATTTTGACCATAGCAGAGTTTACTCAATGAGAATACACACACACACACACACACACACACACACACACACACACACACACACACACACACACACACACACACACACACATATATGTATATATATATATATATATATATATATATATACATATATGTACACTAGGGCTGCACAATATACAGACAACTTATCATCATCGCGATAACAGGACGTGCGATAGGCCCATCGCAAA